AAGTAGCATCCCACGGGATGCTACATGAGTGCAAAACGGTGATGTTAAAACCGGCTGAAAAGGGAATATAGGGACCCCTTACAATCTCTGGAGGCAATCGGGACTCGTTTAGACCCGGAAGTCCTAGCTGGAGTGCAGCTTTTTGGGAGCTTCCCGGGCCAAAAACATCCCGTACGTCCAGAAATGCAACACCCAAGTAGCAGCAACCTGGAAAATGAAACGAGCCTATGGGAGTAGCTGACTGTGAGCTTCATAAGAGGCACATCGAGTTCAGACAATAGCGCACCCACCAACTGGGTCCCTGGTTGCATTTTCTGGGGCTTGCTTAAAACTGCTTGTAGGTGGGAAGTGTCTTGAAACCAACATGTCAAGTTGTTTTGAAGAAGTCACAAGGGACCCAGTGAAAATGTAGATCGACAAGTCTCTCTCGGAGTTCGCAACAAAATTCGGAGGCGTAGGTCCGTAGAATCTTTCAGCATGCCACCTTTGACAGGTGTTCCACACTTCAAATGGATTGAAACCTGTGCCTCATAACAGGCACGGAATCGCTACTCTGCTCTCGAAACAGACGCTGGGTCCCTCTCTGGAGGGGTAGAGAGAGAGAAGAGATTCCGGTCTCAAAGCATGATCACCGCAAGACATGGAAATGAAACATCGCAATGACAAAGACATGCTTTGGAACAGGCAAACACGCTTTGGGCTTCCTCAGGAAACCGGGTCAAATCTTAGCCACCCCACCCGACAAGAGGCTGGCCGGTGCCATGTCTGACAATTGAGCAGGAACAAAACTGTTCAGTTGGATCTGGCGTCAGTAAGAAAAACCTTACACGCAAGAAAACCTTGCACGCCTTCCACACACTTCTAAAACAGGGCTCAAAGCTTCACGTTCAAAACAAACAGCCAACAGCTGCTTTGCTGTAACCTGTGACCAAACCGGCTAGGCTCTTCAACACAAATTCCGGCACACGCTTCCGCTCATGGTTTCTCTCAAGGCCCTCGACTTTGCGTGAAAGTTGTTTTTGTTCCTGCTCACTTGTTGCTTTGACTGGTCCAATATCGAGTGTCCAGATTCCATAGACTCCCTGGTTCTCGCTTGAAAAAATTGGTGTGTCACTTTTGGGGAACCCCCTTTGGCTGCGATTAAAGAGAGCCAAGGGAGAACAAACTTGAATTACGGGTTCCCCTGACATTTTCTCACTGAGCGCTCTTCTCCTCCGTCTCCGCCTTGCTTAGTCTGAAGGAAACATGAAAAGGAGAGAAGAAGAACCAGGGTTCTGCAACATGCGTTTCAACCACCAGCCTTGGTCCAATAAACTCGTACAAAAAATATCAAGGGTCACAACTCAAGGAGTGCGGCTACGCAATGGGTGGGCTAAACACGTAAGCAGCTGACCCGACTCTAATCTCTTGCCGCATCCGAAACACAAGACGAGAGGCCAAGGTTTGGAAGAGCTCACAAGTCAATGTCTTCAACAGGGCTATGCCTATATACCTCAAATAGTAAATGGGCACTAAAAGTCAAAAAAACAAAACGACAAGCAAAGACAACAGATAAAACATCTGCAAACAGACAGAAGGGCGCACAAAACGAACCGCACATTTGCCCGGACATGTCTTCCGCATGCATTTGTTTTGTTGTTTTGTGCGCGCCTTTGCCCACTGCAATGCTTGGACCAGCCGTTTCTCTCGAAGCGTCCCGTGAGATCGACGTTCGTCCACCAGCGACTGCAAAGAGGGCGATGGCCGGGAGATCACCTCCTAGGTCCCCACCCGCTTGGGAACCGAAAAAAGAAAAACAAAAAAACACGTGGGCCGCTCGGTTTAGGCGAAAGCACGTGATCCTCAAGCCGCCTTTGGGAAACCCGGGAAGTGGACACCCGCTGTTTGAAGGTATTTGGCACGCAACCCGCGGGCCAAACGAGTGGACAAAACTGGCGTAATCTTGTTCCGGAGTCGTTTTCTCGTGCTGCAGCGCTTTGTGGTCTCTAAGCTTTCAAGCTCTCAAATCGCGCCTTTTCAGTAACAGTGTAGTACGCCAAGCACACGTTGCTTGCCAGCTCCAGCTCAAAAAGAACAACTTGTGAGTACACGTGTAGTATTCATGCGATGTGTGATTTGACACCTCCAGCTCACAAATTGCAACTTTCGGACTTGTTTGGGACTACTAGAAAGGAGCGCAAGCCACAACAATGACTCTGTGGCATCGGAAAGCCCAAAACGACCTCCATATTCCTTTGGAGGTTAGTCAGCTGTGGGGAACCCACGAGAGAAGGGATTCGAGCTTGGGGTCATAGTTGAATGCTGGGATGGACACGTGCCACCCGTTGTTCAGGGCTCAAACTCACACCACCCATGTTGCCAGCGACTTTCTGTTCAGACCCTTCCGAGTCTTTTTCAGAAGCCCAGGCCACGAACAAAAGGCCCCAAAACGACCATGGGTGACTTTTCCCATTTAGTGGTGAAAGTATCCCCACCCCGTTAAGGGGGGGGGACGTCTGAAAATGTAATCTGGGGTTTGCCACCTAAAAATGCAAGATTGCATTTTTGTCTGGGGACGTGTCAAATGTAAGATTACATTTTGGACAGTGGGCCCATCAGCAAGGTACCTCACACATAACCAGCTTACATTTTATCATACATGTATTATTACATTTTTCAGGTGCTTGAATGTGCTTGAGTAGCACTTGGGGAGATTGGATGAAATTTATTGAAATTGGACATGATGCGAAACACGACTCAAGATTTGCGCAAAGGTGTTACAGAATGCCACACAACGCAATCATTCCAATTGCGGTCTGATGGGGTCTTCTATTATCAAGTACGATATTGTACTAGTTACTATATTGTATTATGGTGTGTTGCATTGTATTACCATCTGTTTTCCATTGTTATCCTGCATGCGCTAGCCAATCCAGCCCACCGACCCACCCTGTCGAGCTTCCCAGGCAAATCTGCAAATCCTTGATTGTTCGCAATCTTTTCTTCTTCTTTTTTTTTTTGGGGGGGGGGGTGAGAAAAAGTAACTTTCGACGTGCCCAGGGGTCAAGCTACATTTTCCCCCCCCGGCCCCCCCCCATAAAACCGCCTATAAGCACCTGGGGGGGGGGGGTCCCTTATATTTTTTGGGGGTGGAGATTTAATTTGGGATTTGTTTTTGATTTATTTTGGGATTTGTGTTTTCCGTCTTGGCTAGTAACATGCTGTATTTTACAGCATTTTCGCACGAAATGTACGTATTTCACACTAGCCCGTCAACATCATCAGCATCGTGTTCAACATCCCCCGCATGTCCAGCCAACATCCCCAGCAAATCGAGTCCTCATCAGTTCCTCTCCTGCTAGGTAGGTAGGTATTTATGTATGCGTGTCAAAAGCAGCGAGGTCCAGGATTCAGATACGGTGCAATTTTATCCCTGTAAGACACCGAAAAGTAGCAGGGGGTTGGGGGGGTTGGCAGCAAAAGTGATGATTCAATTAGGGGCAAAAGGCGGGGTTGGGTGGGGCTGCCAGCCCCCCCCCATGATGATCGAAAAAGTGATGATTCAGGTAGGGTCAAACAAATGTAAAAAGGGGTTGGGGGGGGCGGCAGCCCCCCGCCGTGATGATAAAAAAAGTGATGATTCAATTCGGGGCAAAAAATCTAAAAAGTAGCGTGGGGGTTGGGGGGGGCGGCAGCCCCCCCATGATGATGGAAAAAGTGATGATTCAATTCGGGGCAAAAAATAGAAAAGTAGCGAGGGGGGTTGGGGGGGGGGGGCGATTCAATTAGGGGCAAAAATCTAAACAGTGGCGTTGGGGTTGGGCGGGGCGGCAGCCCCCCCGTGATGTTCGAAAAAGGATGCGAAAAGCCAAAGCCGCACAAGCCGCATAAACCGAACAAAAAGCCGCAAAAGCCAAACAGAAGGGACAAAAGCCAAAAATCCGAAAAGCCACCCACCCTGAAAAACACACAAACAAACGCGAAAAACAAATCCAACAAAAAATGGCCCTCATTTTTTTGGGAGGGGGGGGAAGGCGAAAATGCAAATTACACTTTCAAACGTCCCCACCTATTTTCGGGCCCTAAGGGGGTGGGGATGTGAAAGTCATCTCTTGGTGGCCTCCCGAATGGTCACCCCTTTTGATTGGGCCCTTTCTCAACCCCCACTTGATTTTCCAGGGAAACCCTCCCAAAGGAGCAGAGGGCAGCACTGCGGCCTTTGGCCTTCGGACGAAGCTCCTCTGCAGTAGCCTGGTCTTCCGTGATGGATGTCAGTGGAGTCACCGTGCGCATGCTTTTGTGCACGCGCGAGATGCTGCGCTGCCGCTTGGTCTGGGGCTTGGTCGGAACGAGCATGCGGGGAATCGGGTTGGACGGTCAGAAACTCTTGAGCCACAAAGGCCCTCAATTGACAACATGTTGTGGGAAATCACACTTGTGATGCCAAGACGGGTTATTCCCACGACTACTTTGTCACTTTGAAGGGGGTTCCCTTGGAAAATAGGGTACCGACTCTTCAAAACACACCAAACTGAGGTCAAACCAGAACAAGATTCCTGGCATATCCAGGTAAGACACCGTGCCTTCTTGAGGTCACTATTCGATTTGCGCAGACCCAAGGAACGACAACAACCAGTTCGTTGGCACGCTTGTTCTTTGAAGAAACAGCAACAATTGACCAACTAGTACATTGCTCGAAGCGGGTCAAAACGTCAATTTGCCCTCTGAGAGGGCCCTCGCGTTCGAACTTCGTGGGGGACATGAGGGACAAGTTTAGCAAAGGTCCTAACCGTTAGCCTTTAATTTGGAGGTTCTTTGGCCTAGTGAGAGAAGACCCCTACTGGAGCCCCTGGCAAAAGGAAAAGCCCTTGTTTCCTCACGGGGTAGAATGTGCACCCAGGGAAAACCAAAAAAAACTGACTTCAGATCAGCTCCGTTTTGAACCGATCTCTCGCGGGCTCAAAAAACACCGAAGGCCATCCGAATCCCATCTGACCACGATCCACACTTCAGGCGCCGGCATCTTGTAGCCAACCTCGGCTGCTGACAATTCCTTCTGCCTAGATAGCCAAGTTGCTACTTTCTTCAGTCACTGTTGCTGGTTTTTGGGGTAAAGTGGATGGAAAAAAGCAGCAACTGGCGATCCAGGTGGGTGAATATCTGGGGTGAGGTCGTGTGAGGTCATTAAAAGATTCACCCAGTTTGGATTTTCGGACCTGGATCGGAGCTTAGCTGTTGGTTTCCCTTGAGCATTCACGCAAAAAGAAAGAAAGAAAAGCTGACATCCCGGAAATGATCAGCACATACGTAAAAAAACCCAAAAGAACCTCAAGTGAGACCCCAAGGCCCCAAGCAAAGGACCCAATGAGCAAACCGGTTCGCCTCTCCGAATCGGTGCACTGATTGTAAAATGTGAGGCGTGTCTCCCACTAAAAGTGAAGGATCCCCTCCAAAATGGGACCACCACAAGGGTTGATCAATGGGTCAAAATTATGGCTGTCCAAGTAACATTTAGAATCCCCTCCTAGGTCTTCCTTCTCAAAGATATTTCCCGCGAACTTCGGAGACTACCCTTTTTACAATTTGCATAGGACATGTCGTCTTCAGTCTACCACACATCAAGTTCTTCAGGGTCTCTCGCCAGACCTCTGCGGCCTCTGCGCGCGGTTGATGATTTGTTTTGCCCGATTAAACCGGTGGCCTGTCCCGTGGCAAACAAAGAAAACATACAATCTTGGCATCTACGACACAGCGCGGAAATCAAGCCAAAAGCAGCCACACGCGCGCAAACACCCGCAAATGCAGGACAACCCAAATTTGTCCATTGCTTCCGGAGAAATTCGGAATACACACAAGTCCGGGCCAATTTCGGATATTCAATGGTGCCAAACGTGAGTACAGCGGAGAGCTCATGGGCAAGGGAGTGATTGTTTGAGTGCACTCCTGGTGTTTAGAAGGAGCTCCTAGTTTTCAAGGTTCGCACCTGGTTATCTACAGCCACTCCTGCCTTTCCATTTCTGCACCTGGCTTTCATGGCTCAGTCAAGATTAACTCCCGCTTTTTCCCAAAACGGTGGAAACCAACATTCGTATTGCTTGTTGGATTCGGAAGATCCAGGCTCTGACAAGTCTCACGACTTGTTCAACGAGGCCGGACTCAGATGAGTAGCGGGTCTATGATTAGTTCCGCTCCAATGCAACAACCGGTAGAAAATGAAACCAGAGGCTCCCTTACTTCTTGACGTCCTGAGGATGGCTTAGAGGGTAAAACAGGGTCTAGACCCACTTCTGCGAATCTTCCCGTGGCAAGCTGCTCGCTACTAGTTCTTCTTCAGGCTGCCTCACTGACGTCTCACTCTGTCATACGTGCCCTTCGCTGTTGCCTTGGTCTCCTCCAATGGTCCACTTCTGCTCAAGAGTTGCCTCTTCAGCTCGTGCGAGGGCCGGTTTCCGGGAGACAGCTCTTCTGGCCCTATCTGCAAGGCAACGGAGCTGCAACTTGCGAAGAGTCAAAACCTTTTAGTCGGATGTGCCATGAATCCCTCCAAACCCTAAGCAAACAGTCAAAGGGTCTTGCTGGGAAGCGCCAAGCTTTTGACACCTCTCGAAAGGAAAGACGCTGAAGGTGCTAATTACCCAACAAAACGGTATGTTCGGTCGGCGTAATCCGGGGATACAACGACCTCAACGGCATTCTGCTGAGTCCGTGGAGCATGGTCAAGCACAACATCATGGAAGTGCTATGTGAAGCAGGGGCAACTGCGCAAACATTGTTGCTGGTTTTACCTTTGATGTTTTTCTGTTGCATGTTTCACTCGATCGCCCAGTGGTCATGGGATTTGTTTATTGTTTGATTTCAAAAGACCCAAGCCACACACACACACACGCACAAAACAAAGGCAAAACAGCAGGGTGGCAATGGGCAACTGGGCTTACACCCAAAGATGGTAGGAAGACACACACAGAACATGTCACTCTCGGGCAACCATATGGTTGTTTCCCAACAAAGAGGTCCACTAGGTCCACCCAAGGTGAATGGACAGCCATCGCCGAGCACGTAAGGCCCGATTGATTCCGTGGGCTTTGAGGCCCTATCCTCCGCCAAATGTGAGGAGGCTGTCTGGCTTTCACCAAGGGATGAGTAAACCCCCGGTCTCACTTGTTGAGTGGATTGCCAACAAACAAGTCTGGACTGTTTGTTTACCACTAAATGGTCTGCCCCAAAAGTATCAAGTCCAAGAATTCGGGAAGCTAGTGGTTGACTAAGGAGGTCTAGTATTTTAGAGGTGAACCTCGACGTTTTGGGGGAGTCATCGCCTCTACTCCGGCAGGCTGAAGGAGGGGGGTCGACCTTAACCCCGGCAAAAGTCATGGGCAGAAAAAACGGGTCATTTGATAGATACAGGATCGCCAGGGTTTACATAGTGGCTGGGGTGCGCTAGAAGCGCACGTTCGTGGATTGGACCAAAAGGGTCTGAGCTGTCTGCCGCTAGACAGGTCTCTGAACAAAGCATCTTTCCACCCGCCATATGGCCATATGGAACCACCACCAGGTCCCTTCAAGAGCGGAACCCGGCCCAGAAGTTCAGACTGAGTTCTCTGTATGTTCCTGTGTCTCCATTGCGAATTGAATTGGCAAAAAGGCTCTAACTTGTTGTCTGCCACCAACATGGCTGTCCCAAAAAGTTCAAACATGACCCCAACGTGAACCGTTCCTGGGTAGCTTCCCATTTACCCGCAACAAGATCCAGGGCTTCAAATCCACAAGTTCACCCACCAATCCGAACCACCAATCACAGGCTTGCCTGAAAAAACATATATATATATATATATATATATATTATATCCATTGTTTTTAGTGGTGTGTTTCTTCGAACCCGTGGTCATATGTGAAGGACTGATCGTTTCTCATCAACCCCAAACCCGAAAACCCCCTCGTTCGGGTTTCCCGGCTGAGCTTGGGCCGCTCGGCCATGGCTTCAGCCTGAGACCAGCGGTTTTGGCTGCTGGGAAATCCCCACGTCGTTTGGCCGGATTCGAATCCGACCAAACGGGGGGGTGTCTTTAACCGGGGAACCCGTACGGGGGTGTCTTTCAAAAGAAAGCCACGAGAAGCCACAGGGGAAACAGTTTGGGGCACCCCGATTTTCCGCATACCTCAAATCGCAAAGCGGAAACGTTCTTGACAATTGTGTATAGTATGAGTTTTCCGACATTATAATTTGTGGATGTGGCAAACACATTTTGTCTCTGGGACCTCTAAGACCAGACATCTTCAGTTATGTCCAGTTTTGTTGAGATTTCATTGCTTGAGACGAGTCAACTCAGCATGTCAGTTTGATTTGTTGGTCCATGGCTGTAAGGACTTGCCAAAGTACAACTTTTCATGCAACCCTCAATTGCTGGTTTGGATTGGTGGTTTGGGGATTTGAGCCTCTGGTTCGTGTAGAGGAAAAATGGGAAAGCACAAACACAAATCTAAACGCCAACTAACTCTCAGTCTTCCATGTTGCTTGTTGGAAATCCCAATTTGTACACGTTTGCGCTTGTCGAATTCGCATGCAGGCGTTCTGTTTGCGTGTCATGGACACGTCTTCTTGTCACACATGCCTGTTTGTTTCCTACTGAATCATCTTGACATGTTCTTTAGCATGGCTTTTTGTCTTGCATGTGTCTTTGTTTACCCAAATCGCACGTTGTGTTTCTCAAAACTAACATGATGGCGGAATGTTGTCCTGTGCTCTTTTCACTTCAATTTATCACAAATTCCAGCCAACACGCAGCTTAATATCTAGCACACATCATCAATGCTGGATCGGTTTCCCAAACCAAGCATCACACTCACTGACAATATGTTTTACACACTCTAGCTTTGTTATGAGGTAGGTTACCCTTGGATTAAATCGCTGTTACCTGACGAAGAGGTTGCCCTACAGGTTCAGATCCCCAGGTTATAAAAGTAATTCTGTCGGTTCCAGCCACTTGAAGACACATCAAAAAAGCTCCAGGCTGAACAGTTGGGTGTGAGCCGCTCAGCTCCCCCCAAAAATGTGCCCACGTGTGGCCACGGGAAAACAAAAAACAGGAGGCACCCTCTGGCAGTTTCGAAGGGAACCAAAACGGCAAATGGATCCACGTAGGGATCTTTGCCATTGGATTCAAGGGAACGCCCCGCGTTCAGAGATGAAAAAAAGGGAAACGGAACAACTGGAGCTCTCGGAATGGCCCCAGCCCGGATTTGCCACCGGAACGGCCTCGATGGCTCGTCTTGGGCCTCGAGTCAGTCGCGCGGGAGACAAAGTGCGGTGGTTCGGCCGGGGGGGGAAACTGTTTGGGTGTGTAAATCTGTGTGCTTTCTTTGCTTTGATGTTGATACCCTTTAAGGATCTTTGGGGACCTTGAAAGAAATGTTTCATGCAACCACGGCTTTGTGGGGTGGGGCCATCTACAAATGCTGTTCATCTTTGCGCTTTGCTGGCTCACAACTTCAACGACAGGACTCTGAGGGGTAACGCGTGCTAAGGGGCTCAAACTGAACCAATGCGGCCAGTGAGTGCTTGCAAAAATCAGGAGCCCCCTTATGTTTGGTATGCAAGAGGGTCTCTGCATTTCTATCCAAGACTGGAGGTGTGTAAGCCGACATGTTGTGTTTTCTTTTTTTTCTTGGGAAGGCGGCAGAGGTTCAAGTTGGGGGACTACTGGAATGGGTACAGGTCCTGGAAAGCTGCAGATGGGTTTTCAGGGTGACAAATTGCCGAAGAAAAAGCTGGACACCGATTCTGCTGCACTCATTCAGTGTCCTCAAAGTTAGCCTCTATGCTGGTTTCCTTTTTTTTCCAAACCGGGACCTAAATGCAAAAAAAATGAGGTTCGAGCCCTGTGCTTTGGTCGCTTGTGAGGTCTTCAAATCTGGTCTGGAAATGCGGAAATGCGTGCTGGTTCTATAGGAATGGGTTGGAACCGCAAACTGAACCAACCCACTGGTTTGCTCAGAGGGGATCCCTTTACAGATCATTCCCAAAACCCAAGAAACAGCCATTTAAAACCTCTATTTGGGGTGCCTCTTTCTTGGGAACCCTGTAAAAGCCAACCAGACAAAAACAGGGGCTTTCTCCAAAACGCCAGAAAACAGACCTACCCAAATGAGTGGCGTTCATGGGCCAGGGCCAACCGTTTGTCCGCTTCCCCTGGCGGTTCGGAGGTGTTCACACCCCCCAAATCCAAACCCAGCGGTGCAAGGGTACCCTTAAAACACACACACACTTTTGCATTGTGGTTGTAAAGAGAATACCCACCATCAGGGATTTGCGACGAGGGTTCAGGAACTCGTCCATTCGCAAGGGCCGTTCCTTTTGCGCAAATGGTTGACCCCCTCTTTGGTGTGGCTTTCCGCTGAGGACTGCGGCATGCATTGGAGTTCTGACTATCTTAACAGGCTTGCTTCAAGCCTCTTAACAGATGACCACATCCCAAGGGCAAACCAATTGTACTCTTATCCTGGTAACTCCCGCAATTTTGGGTGGCTTGAGGCTACCCTTTGCGCATTACTTTGAAGGGAATCGGACAACTGCCTCTTATTGCGACTCGCCCTCAAGCGAAGAGGTAAATTGTTGCCTCATCGTCCCGGCTGTTAAAGAAGGCGACTCAATCGAACAAGATAGACTCGTGGAGGCTCCAGAAAGAGTTCAGCTGGCTGCAACAAATTGGGTTCTTGTAATCCTGATCCCCAATCCATAGACATCCGAGCAAGGCAATCCACTACCTCTTCTGGCACAAGGACTGTGGATTAATGTTGAGCTCTTGTTTGGACAGGCTATGCTAACATGTTTTGTTCAACAGATTAGTTTAGCTGGCTATTCTAATATGTCATGTTTAACAGGTTAAATCTACGGGTTCTCTAAACAGGTTGTTTTCACAGGCTATTTCAACACATTGTTTTAAACAGGATAGTTCATCCCGTCATCTTAATAGAGGGCAGGGCACTGTGGCAGTGCATGCTTTTGCCATATGGTTATCTGCTCGTGCATGCAAGTCCGCCTTTGATGTTTGCATGCTTTGCTTATGTTGAGCTCTTGTAAAGCAATGTGTGGTGAATGGTAACTGATGTGCAAAAAAGAAGACTGCATTGAACAACAAATATGAAATTCGCCTCGGCCCCAAAGGGGCCAAGGGCGCTCAGATCTCTTCTCCAAAGAGAATCTTCGCTTTTCCCCTCCCCCAACCCCCTCCCCAACCAAAAGTCGGCTGGCCCAAAATCCTGTCCGGCGGGCCTTGAAATTTTCGGGGTTCGTCAGCGTCCAGCTCCATGGGTCCATTTTTGTCAAAGCATGACCTCCTGCTGGCCAGGCCTGTCTGACGTGTCTGAGACTAGGCTCAGGCCCAGCCCAACCAGCAATCCGCCTGCTGGCCAGACCTGTCAGCCCAACCCAGGCCTAGCCCAACCAAACCCGCCCAAGCACGGCCCCAAGTCATCCAGCAAGCCCAGCCCAGCCTGCCCAGCCCAGGCCCCGGCGCTCTCACGTGTCTGAGACTGGTCTCAAGCTATGCCAGCTACTAAGCCTGTCTGACGTGCCCCAGCCCCTCAGTCCGGCTGCCCAATTTGCTGCTCGCGTCTGGCCCCAAGTCATCCAGCAGGCCCAGCCCCTTCGGCGCAGTCTGATACTGGTCTCAAAGTATGCCAGCCTGAGACTAGCCTCAGGCCCAATCCCTGGCGTGTCTTGCGTGTCCGCGACTGGCCTCAGACCCAGCAACTCGCCACCCAGCCTCAGGCCCAAGTGTGTATGAAACAGGCCTTGCCCGTCCAACCCGCCCAAGCACACCAGCCCGCCCAGCCCAAGTTCCAGGCGCGGCTGCCCGGCAGCCAGCAACCCACCCATGGCTTCGCAGCCTCGTGGCTGAGACTAGCTTCAGGCCCAGCCCAACCAGCAACCCACCTCAGCCCAGCCTGCCCAGCCCAGGCCCCGGCGCATCTCCCAGCCAATTAGCAGGCTCAGCCCAGCGTGCCAAGGGTCGGCCTCAGGCCAACGACAGCTACTAAGCCTGTCTGACGTGCCCCAGCCCCACAGTCCGGCTGCCCAAGCAGCTCAGCCCAGGCTGGCCAGGCCTTGACCTCCTGCTCGCGTCTGGCCCCAAGTCGCAGGCCCATCTGAGACTGGTCTCAAAGTATGCCAGCCTGAGACTAGCCTCAGGCCCAGTCCCTCAGCCTGTCTTGTCTGCCACTCACCTCAGGCCCAGCCCAGCCAGCAACTCGCAATCCAGCCTCAGGCCCAAGTGTGTATGAAACAGGCCTTGCCCATCCAGCAACCCGCCCAAGCACAGCTCAGCCCAGCCCGCCCAGCCCAAGTTCCAGGCGCAACCAGCAGCGTAGGCCCCCAGCTCCCAGCCCACCAGCAGGCTCAGCCCAGCGTGCCAAGGTCAGGTTTGTCGAACGTGTCTGCGACTGGTCAGGCCAACGACCAGTTCTCATCCTGAAGGACCGAAGGATGTGTGTTTAGATGAATCCTTGCTGAAATGAATATTCTTTATGTCCCCCTCTTGGTTTTACAGGGAAACTATCACTATTGAGGATATTTTTCCGGGGTACTTAAGCAAATGGAGGTTTGTATTCCCACCATGTACCTGTCTTGGGCTGAGCAACCGAGCAAGAAATGTATGTCATGGCAAGCCGCCAGCCCCGTGAAATGGAGGTGCCCAAGCACCCAAAGTTGGTCTTTGTTGTTCAGTGACACCAATTATTGTTCCCCTTTTTACGGAGGCCAAGCCCCACTAAAAATGCTCATCCCCAGAAAGAGGTCCTTTTTTTTCCAAGGGCACTGAGCAGCTGAGATAGTCTTGGTTTTGGATTTCAAACCTTCCGAGCAGGACGACTTCCGAACATCGAACTAGCACGGGCGAACTGGTGCGGTCACAAGCTTTCAGTAGGATTCGGACCTTCCCAACACTGGATTTCGGTGTTCCTGACCCTTCCCTCAAACTAGGCTGGGCCGAGGCGGGCAACGCGAAGCGTTTACAATTAAGATCTTATCAACTGAGTTCAAACGTACATATAAATAATGACTGGATTATGTCCGTGTTAAACTCTAGATTGAATCCTGATAGAAATTGTGTAGACTTTGAGAAATATATCAGGTATGATATCATAAGGAAATAACTCAGAGTCCCAAAATTGATAACACTGTGTTTAAATGTCACCTGATTTGTAAAAGAAGCTCTAGTACAAACAAATTCCTGTGAAAATTAATTTGAAATGTAATCTAACTATTGTTCAATTTCTAATTTCAATTTTGTCCTAAGTCAAGTCTATTTCAGCTAGACACTGAGTAGAATGGAAGAATAAACATATGAGGCATAATGTCATAAGGATATAATGCAGAGGCCCCAAAACCGTTTGCTTTTTACCTAGCCCCCAGCACTACCATGGTCAGAAAACACTGTAAAACACAGTGCTTTGGAGCATGGTGTCTGCGCTCTCTAAAACTCAATTAGACTTTAAATGGAATCAAATGGGACTCACTAAGGAAATACGTGTTCCGAATGCTGTTGGACATCATATCGTACATCTATGGAATGTGAATACAATCCTTGCCAATGAGACTTTACAATTCAATTAGAGTCGAAATGGAATTATGAAGAAATCATCCAATCATAACTTCTCCTTTGAAGTAGAATTTGTACAAGACATAGTCCATCTTAAGCTAGAATTCAAATCAAGGCTATTCCAGTACAATTATACCTCAAACAAGACTTCCTTTCAACATCTTGGTCTTAACACGTCATTAATAAGTAGTTCAAACACAATGAATACAATCAGATAGAGTTCAACTCGAAATTCCATGTTAAACTGGACGTGTTTAGTAGGGTGTCCTTTCCAGAAACACAAATCCACTGGATCAGCCCTGCCGAAAACCAAACACCCAAAACACCTCGAGAAAACAACAAGAAACATATTCTCCCAGAACTCTTGGCACAGTGACAGGCTCGGGACCCCGGGACCCCGTTTCCTGCCTAAGAACCAGGCTCAGCCTGCATAGAGTGGCCTCTCCTGTCGAGGCGCCCGATAAGTCGGGGGAACATGATTGGACCCCCCCCCACCAACTAAGATGCAAGTCCACAGGCCCTTTCCAAGAGAGCGGCAGACTTCTGCTTGCTTTTCCCTGGAAACGCAGTAGTGTCCTTATCTTGTATCTATAATCGTGTGTGGTAGGTGGTGAACCGTCAAAGGAAACTAACGTCGACCCATCCTGGAAACAGCAAAAGTATTACATCTGGCAAAGTGGCATCCCCCGCTTTCGGTTGCACCCGAGACCCACTACGACTGAAGAGATCTTAAAGCGAGCGTGGAGCAACCCTATCTAATTATCTGCCTCAGCTGCCGCCGACTTTAAGAGATGACATCTCGTGATTCCAGTCCATACTCAGCTCAACATGTCAAGTGAATCTCGAAACAAAGGCTATGGCTGGATTGCGAAAACATACCATGTGTTCCTTCCATACCTTTTTGGGGGCCGTTCAAAGTGGAATCGCTTTAGCTTCGTAGTTACCAGGTGCTAAACAAACCACCACACCTTCTGCGATTCTGTGAGGCTGCCACGGTTCAGGTTCCACGGGACGCACGGGTGCTGTTGGGGATATCGGCTTAGCTTTGGTACCGCTGACCCCATTCTAATCTGGGACTATAGGTGTCCTTTTTGGGTAAATATATGACCCTGGTAGATGATGAAACCACCAGGTTTCTCTCAGCGCCATCTATTTTCCTACCAAAACCACCAGAAAAAGGACACCGAGGTCTGGGCCCCGGCCGCTCCTTTCCCGGATGCAACAGAAAAACCCACCCCTCAACCGAGCCCAGCCTAGGGAAAGCCGCGCGGCGGCGGGCTGAAGCCGAACCAGCTGCGGTCAACAGCTGCGGTCCCGTCGCACGGCCACGAAAACGGGGATGCAACGGAACTTCGAAACGGTGAGACACGGCCAGCGCATTGACTAATACATATATATATATATATGTACACATATATATATATATGTGGTTGATGTATATAAGCCTTGTGCTTGGTGACATGTGTTGGGTAAATTGTTGCCAAAGATGGGTTGGACTTCCCAAACGCTCCGTTACGCTGTAAATGGTTTCTTCAACCTTCCAACTGGGCTGTCGCGGCAGAGGTTCCTTTCCTGAGTCGCGAGTATGACAAACAACCCCTTTCATGAACCCTTTTTCCGGCGGCCTCACGGAAAAAGGCAACATGTCGAAAGCACTATTTGTCTGTGGGTCAAAAAATATATATGTACCCCAAAATACAATTCCTGGAATATGGACACATGGACTAAAACTGGCGGTCCATATCCTGGTGTAATTTCGCATGCCCATTTCCTCACAAACGCAGGCGTTTCAAACGCAGGCGTTTCACGGCTGGAAGCTCGAGGCACGGAGATCCCGCCACTTCGTTCATTGGACCCCGCGAGCGGTGGGAGCTGTTCACCTCTGCCAGGAAGCGTTGGCAGCCGTGAAGGTGGGGGAAATGTGTCAGTGACCCCCCGTGCTGAAGCGTGTGGGAAAAACATTCATCTCCCACATTGATAATGTTTAAATACATATATATATATACATACATACAACAGCATTAAGCTGTGCCAAACCTGAAATGGCACTTGGGTGGTCGTGAAAGCATGAAAGCGTGCTAAATAGCAGCCATTTGACCCCAGGGCGAACACAGACACAGCTTCTTCGACTATCCAATAACTGTTTCACCACTGCCGGCCTAACAGTCGTACGCATACATCTGGACCTTCATGATCAACGTAAGTACGGCCTGCAATTTTGGCGGCTGCAAGCATGGGTGGCCTTTTGGAAAAATAGATGAGCCTGGTAAATGGAAGAAACCACACCTAAACCAGTGCCATCTATTTTTTATTCAAACTAACCCAAGAAGGACACCTATGGCTGCAAGATTCTCGGCTTCGCGAGCATCTGCGACGCGGCAATCTGAAAACTGCAAATCACACGAGTCCGTCCGACGAGGTCCAGGGTGACCACTAAACAAGGGGCACCCTGAATCAACACCAGCTGCTCTCGCATTTCATGGTACTTGGTATCCTGCATCAACCCCTCTGAAAGAGGGCATCCACAGCAAACCACTGTTTGGCCACTTCGCGCAACTGGAATGTAAAGCAATGACAAAAACAAACACCCTGTATTCAAATGCCAAAGCCACCAAGCCAAACCATCAATCAAGAAAGACCTGAGTGTATCCATGGTGCCAACTTGTGCACCGCGACCCAGGTAAAGCGGCAATTGACATGCCGCTCCTTTTCTTCCGGCACAGCGAGCGCTACACTTCACAACTCACATGAGGATGGTTCAGAAACAAAGGGTTCTAATTTTGGAGACAGTCCGAATTTGGGAGACGTGTGCCCTCTATCTTCCCGCTGAAGGGATCGCAAAAGGGTCCAAACAGACATCCCGCTGAACAAACCTCACATGAGGATCCGATACTTCTCCTCTCCAGGAATGCGGTTCACAACCTGGCGTGCAGGTCTTGGGCTGTGGGAAGTGACACAGGTACTCGGATGTTCGGCCAAGTTAGTGGTGATCCACGTAGGGTATAACCCTAGTAAAAGGGTTAACACCACTCAGGGGGGAAGTGAGATACAACCTAGGATACCAACAACTAACTCGGCCGAACACCCAAGTGAAAAAACAAGTCGTCCAATCCTCGTCAATCCAAATGACCGCTGCTTCCAGCAGAGAAGCTGAGACCTTCCATCCGGCCTCTTGTTTCCCTGTGTCTGTGGTGAGACTGGGCTCAGCTCTAGCACCTCCCTCTTCTTTTGGATGCCTCAAAACTTTAAGGTTCATCGCATTTGACCCTTTGAGCCCTGGTAAAGGGAGGAATTAAACAAAAACAAGCCAACACAATGTTCTGCACCGATGCCCAGGTGCCAAAAGACCCTGGTAGAAATCGAAGACTCCTCTTGGGGTTGACCAGTTTGTACGGGCTAACCCGATGAACAAAGGGTGGTATCCACTGGGTGGATATCCTGGTTTGCCAGTTCAAACAAAGGGACCCCCATTGATTTCACACAACCTCAACTATCCAAAGGGTACCTTTCAAAGCTTGGAGCCCAACCTCCACCCCAGATTTTCCTCTCCAAAGTCCAAAAAACAGTATCCCAGATTTTCCCTCTCAGCTTCCGAAAGCAAAAGCCATCAGCTCATTTGCCCAAAGGACATGGAAATTGAAGGTTAACCTTTTGGGACCTTTGCTAAATTGGACCAAAAAGGGTCAACCAAAGGGTTAAAACGGTCGGTTTTGAACAACTGAGAAAATGGAAACCTGAACTCAGACCTGCGGTCCATAGGAAGTAAAACATATCGACCCATGCCCGACAGTCAGAGACGTTTCGTTTCTTGCTTTCGACTCCTTGGTCGACGTTGGAAGGGGAGGAACAAAAATCAATTTTAGCAGTTAAGTGAAAATGCCCCACTAAACCAACAACAAGCAAAATGTAAAAACTGTTTCCCAACAACAACCATGAGGCTGTGCGTCAAAAATAGGTACCCAAAATGGCACCCTGGTAAATGGAAAAAATGACTAAAGCCTGTGGTCCATATCCTGGTGGCTTAATTTTTGACCCAAACCCATAAATTCCCTAAATTGAATGTTGTTGGAAAAAAGCAATTGTTGCAAAATCTAAACCGTTTCCCAACAACAACCATGACACGGTCAAAGCCGAGTCGTCCCGGCCAGCTTCCCGTCGAAGGACACAGAGGCGAAGACCCAAGCGTCGCTGGCGCTCCAGCAGCAGCTGTAGCAGGAGTCCTCGCGCCATGGGACGATTGACGCTGAGGTTCCCTGTTTTCTGGCCGTCGTTTTTTGTTTTTTCTTTTCTTGTTTTGTTTCTCTCTGATTTTCCTTTTTTTTTTCTGAGGAAACCAAAACGAACACCAACATGTTGTTTAAAACGACACCCCTTGCTTCCACTACAAACTTTTGACTTGTGGTTTACGTGGAAACCCAACCTCTAAACCCCAAAAGCCTAGAGGCCTAAGGGGATGGCTGGGAACAGGGAAACCCTTGGTGAGTCAAGGCCCCGTTTCTGTGCCTGGTTCTTCGGGAATCCCGCCGCTTTCCGAGACCACTCTCCCTCATACGGGAATTGTGTCTTGCTTGTGTCCCTGGCCTCTGTGCACGGTGCGCGGCTTGGGAGGGTCCCGGGAGGGTACAGTAGGTTGTTTGCTCAGCGGAACAAAAACCACTCAAAGCCAACTACTCCAAAATAGTGTCACGCTCATAGGTGTCCTTTAAGTAGATGGCACTGGGCAATGATTAGAAGCAACCTGCGACCAGCGCCATCTACCTTCGAACTCACCAAAAAAAACTGCCACACATTGCGCTCCTTTTTCCTTGCCAACCCGGTTTTGCCGGGCTTTGCAAGCAAACCTCCACCCCCAAGTATCTCCCCTTCCCCCCCCCAGCTCGCCCAAGCCCCGCCCCGCTTCCCGCTTCTCGCTGCCTCGTGCTCCTCGTACTTCCGCACCAATCCGTCCGCGGCATTCGCCCGGCCACCGGTCTCGCACAACGGCGCCGAGGCCACCTAACGAAGCGCCCCCCACTGGCTTCGCTTTTTTCACCGCCCATTGCGTTTTGGAGCCCCCGGTGAAGACTGAGAAGATGTGGCTGCGGGTCAAAACCGTTTTGGGATCCCATTTTGGTTGGTAGGTGAATTCCGTTGTTTTTGTTCCTTTCCTTTCCACTTCCTTTCCACTTCCTTTCCATGCCATTTCCATTTCCTTTCCATTTCCTTTCCATCTCCGTTACTCGCTTTTGTGGTGTTGTAGTTGTTGATTGTTTTTCTTAGTTGTTGATTGTTCTGTTTTAGTTGTTGATTGAGCGCCATCTTCCCTGGGAAAACGGAGAAGATATGGCTGCCGGTCAAAACCGTTTTGGGATCCCATTTTGGTTGGTAAGTGAATTAACCACCCATTTTAGTCTGGATTTTAGTGGGGATTGGGATGTTCACTGGCCCAGTGAACATCACTGGGGGTGCGGGCTTTTGACCCATGGCCCTATGTCCAGTCATAGATTGCCTTTACAACCAACAGAGGAAAAAAAACATGTTTCGGGAGTAAAGTGGGTTTAAAGGGACACTTGCGGGACGTACTCAAATGAGTTTCTCTCAATTGGTCAACCCCCGTCCGACGTCCGACGTCTGGTTCCATTTGATGGCTGGTTTGCTTTTGGTTGCCCAAGCACAAACAATACCAACATGAGTACCCTCACAAAAAGCTGACCCGCGAGTGTGATAGACTCCTACACAATGGTCCTTTGGCGCACGCGATTGGAACCCATCTAGATGAGTACAAACCGATTCCGTTAGGGATTGACGATTGACTTTTGGCTGTACCATGATGAGCCAAGGTCAGAATCACGTGTTCCTCTTATGTGTTTTTGCGTCTGGGCTGCGTTTCGGCTGAGAACCAGTGAGTTCCCATGTCCCTCTCAAATAGACCACAAGCTTTGACCGAACCTCAGATGCTTTGGCCTTCCCATCTTCCATGCTAAACCAAGGAGCTGACGCCCCGAACCAGGCGAAACAAACCCTGGTCTTTAAATGAAAAACACTGTAGCCAAAAAGGATTGATGCGCATCTATAGCAGGGAGACCATGCCATGCAAACCAAACACACATATCAAACGGCAAATCCGAGACTCCACTGATTTCTGAGGTCCGGTGTTCGATGTTCATCTCTCTTTATGGGGCTGATTTCCCATGAATCAAGCCGGAAAAAATATATTAATATCCCATACACTAGAGGTTCATACCAGGGGTTCGTATATGGACGTATACATTCTGCCTTGGGCTGCTACATGTGTGAGTAGGTCCTACCTTTTTTGGTACGTTCGGTGTATATATATATGTATATGCGGGATGGTCGAGTTGTGCTTTCTGACGTCCATCTCTTTGGGTTCCGTCCTGCAACACCTGAGGTTTTGCGCGAGCGTCTCCAGGTCCCCGCGGCTTCCCAGGTTCGCGAAAAAAAGTTATGATCCAGTGCACTGGTTTCCCCACACCAAGACTGCACAGCAATTGTTTGGTTGTCTATTTGGTTCGTCTATGACTCGTTGGGTTGCATGACGTCGGAAAGCGATTGCTTGACAAGTGTCCTCTTACACACACACACACACGAGACATCCTGGTCCTCAACATGGTCAAGCCTGCCGTGTCGCTTCCAAACCAAAGCAAGACACTAACAGTATCAGAAAACTGGGAACGACATCCACTTGTTTCTTGTTTGTTCTTTCTACCCATTTTTTGTGTGCCCGACTTGTTGAAAGCAGCCGTTGATTTTGTGTTGTATTTCCCTTTTTGCCAACATGATCATCACTGGTGTTTCTTTGTTTACACGTCATAGGCTCAACAAGGCTTACTGGCAAACTACTTAGTCAGCCAGCCAGCCAGCCGCCAGCCAGCCAGTCAGTCAGTCAGTCAGTGAGACGGTCAGTCAGTGAGTCGGTCACTTAGTCAGTGACGGAGTTGGTTAGCTGGCTAGCTAGCTATTTAGTTCCTGGGAAACGCTTCGGATGCAGCTTTTTTGGATCCACCTCTGTAGGATATCAACAGAATACCAAACGAGTACTAACAAGGGACCAAAACGTGAAGCTCGAATCCACAAAAGCTGCAGTCAAGTTGTTATCTGGATAGGTTGTTGTTGAGCTGTTGGTTGGTTGGTTGGTTGGTTGGTTGGTTGGTTGGTTGGTTGGTTGGTTGGTTGGCTGGCTGGCTGGCTGGCTGGCTGGCTAGCTGACTGGTTGGTTGGTTGGTTGGTTGGTTGGTTGGTTGGTTGGTTTATTAGTTTACTCACGTCATGATATTATGGTGTTTGTCGACTAGTATTTTACTTGTTGTATGTTAATATGTTTAGTTGCTTCTGGGGCTCCCGGCAGAGGCGGCGCGCCAAAGGCAGACCATGGAGTCACTGCCGCAGGAGAGGACCAGCCTGGCACATGGAACCCAGAAAACACGTGGGGTACTCGTCGGTTTTGGTGGCTTCAAAGGGAAACCAAAAGGAAAACGCTTTGGGATCCATGGTCAAGGATCACGCACATCTGCGATACCACAGTGGGGCGTCCATCCCAATGGCTACTAAACTACGCCAGCATAGACCCCCAGATAGCGAGCAAACGCCAATGATTGCACTCCAGCAATCTTGGGAATAAAACTTCAAAGGACAAATCCCGATCACAAACATCGGTCGATTTAAACAACTTGCTTGTGGTTTCCCTAAGCTCAAAGCACCAACCCTCTCCCAAAGGCACCTCAATTCAAACTGGCCTTAACGGCAATGAGAAAAAACAAAGGGACGTCTCGTTGGCCCCGTTTTTGTGAGGAGGATGGGGGAATTTCCGAAAGGTGATGAGTGAAACTCACAGCACAAAGGGACATCTAACCCCCCCATTTTTGAGGGTTTGGGGCAGCTGGCAACTGGGTCTATCGAGGGCCAAAGATCCGGGGCCGGCCTAACATACCACAGGGAATATTAGCGGAACACAGAACAGACCGGAATTGCTGATTTTGTGTTGATTTAAAGGAATCATAGAAATTGAACGGAATTGACAGGTTCAATGATTCCTGATATGTTTGGTTGGCGTGTCTCTACTCCAGTTAGAAAGAACTGCTGGTTGCAAGGTATACAAGACATCTAATACAGGAAAATACTCTAGCCACCAAACACCAAAGATGATATCCGCACTCCAATTCCCATACCCAAAAGTTGTTGTTTACAAAACTAAACGTTGGAAAGTCATGGAGGTTCTGCTGAATTTAACACACATGATTATGATGTTTAAAGAAACACAAACAAGACAGACAATCTAGTCTTCTGTGCCATGATCACGCGCCTTGGGGAACGGCTGCGATTGCTTTCAGGGAAACCCCTGGATAGTCGTCTTCCAACTGAGGAGCATCGGCAACAATGGCAACACACTCCTGGCGAACTTTTGCTCATCTGCCCAAAGCACTAGGAAATAAAAGGTTGACCATTTGCCACCTTGACTGAGGATAGACACAGTAGCAGTGCTTAGCAAGATCCAGGAGCTGAACAGTTCGATGTTTATTGGCCCAACTCTGGCATATATACGCCAAACATATACTTTCGGAATCTGCTACAGAATATTTGGTCCACCTTAAGAAGGGTAAAACAAATAACATTGGAGGAGACCCAGCCTTGGTGCATGACCAAGACATTTCTTGAAAAGGCGAGCCCTCGATCGCATCAGCAACGGCACCCGACTTGGGTCGGCCGAACCTAAACTTCTCATCTTAATTGGACAACCCCTTACCGGCACCAAATCGTTGCGGTAGGGAACAGCCTATACGTACCTTGAGGGGAATCTTTGTTGGCCTTGCCAGTTCCATCCAAAAAAGGCAGCAAGCCAACCCCAAGGAGGACCTGTAATGTTGACTTTGGACTCCGGAGAACCCTTCTAATCAGAGGAACCTCCTTCGAAAAATGGATAGCTTCCCTGCAAGGGAGCCACCTCAAAGCGCAGTCCTTCGGACTCCGTTGGCTTACGCTTGCTGGTGCTCAATAGGGAATGACCCAGGGTGTTGAGAATGAACATAGGGATTCCCATGGATTCCCTTAAAGTAATAGGGGATGGCTTTCCTCGGGGTCATTCCAACTCATTCCCTGCCCAAACCAACACATCGCTTGGATGCGACAGACATCTTCCCGTGGGTCCCAGGGCCGCAGCAAGCGTGAGGTGGCGCACTGGTCGTGATGGGAGTTGTACCGCGAGCGCACCACCTCGTACTGAAGCCAAGGAGAGAGATACGGCCTCTCTGTTTTCCCAAGAGACCTAAGGTGGTGGTTTTAGGACATGATTGGTTGGGTCTATAGAGGGTTTGCCAGTCCTTGTTGGCAAGCTGCTTTGCTTTCCGGCCAGTTGGCCGTTCACGGTGCAAGATCATATGTTTTCCCGTTGTTTTTGGATCGATTCCCATGAAACAACCCAGCTTAAGCCCAGCGGCCGCCCCTTTTGTGGGGGAACATGGGGATTGAAGAGAAGCAAGCACTATCTACCCCTCTGGCTGAACTTGTGGCGTTGTGCTTTTACCCCTGCCGGAGCTCCCAGCCAAGATGTGTCCCCCCCCCAACTTCGGAGCATGAAGGCGGAGGCTTGGCTCGACGGCTCCTGTGCGCTGAAAAAAGCAGCAACTGCATCAATTTTCGGTCTGGTATTCTGGGGCATGTCGAAGCAACCGTCCTGGCGATGCGTGAGTTTGAGAAAACGTTTGCATGATAGTTGGAAAAAAACGGGGGATGGTTGAGCTTCGGGGAAATCTGCGAAACATGCAGGACAGGGTTGAAAACGCACTCGAAACCTAGGGGAAGCCCACGGAACTCATGGCTACGTGGCTATGTGTTCCATTCAGGGCAGGCTCCGCCAAGAATGGTGGGGTTGCTTTTGGTACAGTTGGCTTCCTGTTGAAACAACCATGGGTACGCTCAAGGACAAATCTACGTTCTTTTGTCAGAGTTGGTAATTCCTGGGTTTGCCTTGGGTGCCCCCAAAAAAAGGCGAAGCTCATACCGGCAGCCCACCGGCGGGCCCCGGGGGTGCCGGCCCAATGGTGGTGACCCCCGGAGAGGCACCGCAAGCAGCTGGACAGCTGCCGCAAGTCCCAGAACCGCAGACAGGCGTCCTGCGCTACGGCGCTGATGTGGTTTTTGGGGATGTCGGGGCCATGGGCAGAGAAGAAATCAGAAGCAAACGCGGCTTTGCGGGTGGGTCTTGCGGGAGCTCGTGGGGTTGGGCCGATCTATTGCAAGGTGAAACTTTCAGCAGGTCTTGATCCCTGCGGAAAACGAAGATACGGCAAACCACATACAAACAAACAAACAAACAAACAAACAAACAAACAAACAAACAAACAAACAAACAAACATCTATCTGCCCACTTGGAACCCACCAAACGCCTGGCATGGAGCCCACCAAGCGGTTTGCATCCATGTGGATAGGGGAAATGGGAGGAAGCAATTCTTAAATGGGTGACTCAAACTAGGCGGGTTTTCGATTGTGCCTTGTACCCTGCAACAGCTATACCAGTACCAACCACAAGACAGCCTTCATCCCCTGCCCCGCCCTCATTTTTTGTACACCTGGAAAGCGTAGCGGTGTGATGACACATGGAGCCACAGCTCAGGGCCTAGCCAGCAAATGAAGATTTAGGCTCCACAGTGTGACTCCAAAGTATATACTCAACTTAGGATCATTGACACATTGCCCAATTCCCCTCGCATGTGACGCATTGGTCACCTTTTGTGACCGCGGTTGAGGAGTGTCCCAAAAACGGCCCATAAGTTTGTCGATCCTCAATGAAAACCGCTCGTGTTTTGGGGGTGACAGCCAAAGCAAAACCACCTCTCATGCCCAGCCTCCCCGGTAGTCAGCACTTGGTATGGCACCTGGGAGTGCTGGGGGGGGGGGGAGGGCTTGCGGGCCTGAATGGACATGACGAGTGTTGGGGGCCCCGGTCTAGTCCCCAAACTAGCGAACCCGCAGATGCTGTCGCAAATTCAGTCAGAAGCTCGAATGTAACACGTGCGCGCGTCTTTTTCAGGGTACCTTTTGGGTTGAAGGGACACCCCAAGGAAACCGCCGATTTTGCGGGGGTTGGGTTTCCTTTGAGACAAACCGCCTGTCAGAGACAGCCTGCTTCCACAAAAGGGACAGACACGAGGTCGCTAGGATTGCCCAAGATTCACTCATTCAACCCTGAAGCCAAGGCGGCACAACATGAGTCTTGCACCCGTCCAAAAGTGGCCCCGTGATTGTTGGACTAAGCACCACATTATTTGGAGACCAGGCACCTCGCAATGAGGGAACGGAGTCCTCACACGGCTCCTGTTGCATCTCCAAAGCAGAAACTCCTATACACAAACACTAGCCTACATGGTGAACTTTTAACAAGTAAAATTTGAAACCATTCAAAAGGGATATATATATATATAATTTTGAGAAACCCCTTTCTGAGCTGCCAGGCGTTTGGGTTGTAGTCCACATCCTTCGCCCCGAACAGGTGGGCCCCGTCCTGGTCCGTGACGGTGATTGGGTGAGACCATGGTCTATTGGCATTTACAAGGGAATCATCATTCCAGGTTCTGATTTTCGTCCATCCACAGTAGCTCCTGTTGACCCCGGCTCCAAAGTGTGGCAAAAAATAACTATCTTCTTGGCGGTTTCATCTCTAGGGAGCCCGTGTTCACGTCAGACCGCTAGGTGTGCAAGCCGCTCAAAGGTCGGCTTTTTTCGCATTGGCCGATGCATTGGTTTGTTGCGACACCCTTCGTTTCTGATTGAACTCGGAAGCGCCACGGGAAACAAAGAGGGACCCGGATGGCAAAGATCTCTCAGATGTTCAGTTCAAGCTGCCAGGCTCAACGCCGGTGCCTAGCTGGCAAGTGGACCTTGACAACCACCGAACACCAGCATAAGAATAGCAGACTCAAGGCAACACATAAGCTCCAGAGACAACCACAGAACACAAAACACAGACCAACACGGCAGACCTTTCGGCCTCTGGCCCCAGCTCGTGACCCCCTCTTGATGGGTGGGGGGGAGTGAATCAAGAGGGTCCCCGGCTTCATTGATCTAGTATTATTCCCCACAAACAGTTGGGAATCGCCATTAAGCCCGCCTTCTCCAATCTAGCATTGTTCAGGACACATAAAAGTACAAAACAAATCGAAAATGGGTGACCCTCTCAAGTGGGGTTGAAGAGAAACTACTGCAGTTTCAGACTTTTATACCCTCCCTTCGGCGATAGGGACCCTTTAAAAGGAACGCCCTCTTCCGGAACTATGAGAGGTGTACATGAAATCGTGTTTGTGAGGGTAAGCCCCAGAAACAGGACCAACATCAAATAAAGGGCCGAACACTTACACACTCTATTCTCCAATGATCCTGAGGTCAGTTGGTTTAATAGTACCCCACAACGTCACTTCTTTTTGTCTCATGCCAGCCGCCAGCCATTTTAGAAAAAAACAGCCATCATATGGCTTATATGGGCATTTTCATTCGGGACCCTTTGGTGGGGCCGCGATTCACGCCCAATGACAGTGGTGGTTCCAACTCTTATCAAAACCATCGCACGCGGGTTTGTCCTACAAAATAGAGGGTTTCGGATTTCGGTGTTTCGTGGCTAACCACGTAAACCGACCAAACGGGGAACAGGCTTCCCGCTAAAAAAGGAAACGCAAAAACGTGCCGCGTGGCTTCCCCGAAACCAACCAAGCGGGAAACAGGCTTCGCGTCTAAAAAACGGACTACACCAAACACGTCGAGCGAGTCCGAGGCCGGCTCCGCGTCCGCGGCTCGACTCCGCGACTGGCCTTGCGGAAGGCCAATCTGCTGGTCCGCAGGTCCCAGGTCTTCAGATGCCCGTCGTCCACCTGGGGAATGCGTCCGGTCAGAAGATGACGGCTTGGAGGCCCTCGAAGCCACAGAACACGGTGGCAACCGGAAAGGGTACTCATTTTTGGACCCCCTGGTCACTTGGACACCCCCTGATTCAGAACTGAGGTGCAGCCCTGGCCCAAGCTTGGGCCAAATTTCGGCCCTTTCGACAACTGGGTTGTTCAAAAACTTGGAGGAGCCACGCGAATCCAACAGGAGCCACGCGCATCCATATGTCAAGAGTCAGGATTGGGTTTGAACATGCCAGCGTGAATGTACCACAGCGAGTCATCTTTATGATATGTTTTTCTCTTGTTCAAAGCAGATTGCCACACACACACACACAGTGTATCTGCAATTTAGCAGCCCCTTTCACACGCCAACTGTATTTGTGGTTTCGGTTCAAACCATCCAATAGGATGTTCCCCATTTGAGATACACACACACACACACCAAATGGATATTAGGCATTTCTTTGAGGTCTCTTCAGTGCACGTCATGGTAGATGTATGTTCACCAACCATCCACGTCAGTCCAACTTCATGGCCAACTGCGATCAATTCAAACCTTTTGGGCTTCCCTTTGCAACACCCAAAGTGAGACCCTCACTTTCTGAGTTGGATTTTCTTCTGGCGTCCTTCCAGAACCATCCAGAAAGGCATCTGCTCGCTTGGCTTGAGACCCTAAAGGTATTCCTAGGGGCACTTCTTGGCGGTTTTCCTCTTGTTGCCCGGTCTACCATCTCCTTACCGAACTCTTGGTAGATCCTGAACCGCTCCCTCTTTAAATGCAAACTTGGATACCCCCCTCCCCTCTGCTCCACATGCATCAGCTAGCTGTAAAACAGCTGCAAAAAAGGCGCACCAACACAACTCTCTTCCCGAGAGGATTTCAAAAAAAAACAAACTAATTTATTTGCCACTAAAATGGTCCAACCCAAAAAAAGTGGCTAAAGCCCATGAACTCAGGAAGTGAGATAAAGAAGGTGATGTTAAAAACCACCAGAAAGGGCATATAGAGGGACCCCTGAACCTTAAAGGGCCACCAACATACCGAAAAAACCCGCGGCACCAATGACCCTCGCTGCGTCGACCCGAGGCGGATTTCAGGCTCGCACCGTGGAGAGCTGCTGCCGGTGGTGGGGATCCAAACACGCCCCGCTGCACCTGGCCGCGAAAGGAGGCCGCTTGAGGAGGCCGCTGGTATCTGCGCACCGAAAAAGATCCGGCATGATCCGGCGCTTAGATTCTAAGATGCCCAGTGGCCATGGGAAACAAGGGCATCCTTTTTGTGTGGGTCGACTTTGAAGGGACACCCTTCCCAAAAAAGAAGGAAACAAGGGCACCACATAAGTCTCATGTTGACCCAATAGTAGTTAACCTCATCATATGAATAAGGGAAGGGTTCCTGGGTTTGGGGTTAATGTTGACCCCATCAGCCAACCAGTTCATGAAAAAGGGGGGCCCTGGGAAGATTCGCCTTTTCGGGTGTCTCACTCCTGGCCGGCCTAGGGAATTGTGAAGTTTCATCCATAGACAAAATAAGTTGGGGGGGCCACGGATTTTGGAGGTCCCCCTATTTCGAGACAAACCCCAAATGATCCCAACAGGTTGGCAGTTGATTTCCGAGTTTGGACAAGCATACAATGATATTGACAGCATGCAATCCACGAAAAGGGTTGGATGAGTTCTAACCAGCCAAGGTTACAGCCCAGTCTGATGCAACTCGTCACCGCTTCAAAGTATTTTCTTGGCGCCTGAACCGCCCTTCTTTGGGCGCAGGGGCGGGTGGGGGGGTTGGTTTTGCCCTAGATTTCGGGTTTCTTGGTGTGCGTCAACAGCTGCTCAGCATTCCGCGCTTTTGCGTTGCGGTTGCCAGTCGGCAACCTGCAAACTCGGAAAGCCCATAGAATTGCGGAAGTCGTCCCTGCTCCGCAGCTTCAGCGCCGGCGCCCCCGGTAGAGCCGTGGGGCGCCCGCGATAGATTCCACTCGGCAAGCAGTCGCGCACAGCAGCCAATCGCGCTGGTGACAGCAACCAGGTCCGAGGGCTGCTCCAGATGCTGCAGATCCGAGCCATTGGGTTTGTGTGTGCTGTTAAGTTGGTAGTCGACAACAGCCAGGCGCGGCAGCCGTTGGTGCAGGCTCAGCAGATCCAAGCGTTGGGGGCCAGAGAACGGCGGTGGCAAGGTGCGAGGGCGGGCGCAAGCAAGGCAATCGAGCGAGAGGCCGGAGCAAGGAATGATGCGTTTCGCAGAGGTCATCGGCAAGACTTTCGTCGGGAAAACAGTCCGTGTCTGGAGTTTCACCGGGCCTCTCACCAAAGATCCCGCCCCATGCCCAGGTCGTTTAAAAAAACAGCGTCGTCATGCTCCACGGAGCTGTGTGAGCCATCGGACAAGCTAATCCACGCGATGTCATCACTGGATTCGCCCGTCCCACGTCTCCCCGTCGATCAACGGCCTGGGCGCGGGGGCGAAATCTTCGGCGCAGAGCGCCCTGCGAGGTCGCAGCGACGGAGTGCAGAGGCTTCTTGGTTGCTCCTGGCCGCTGGCTCTTTGGTCCGGTGGCGGTGACAGCAGCCAGCGGGAAGCTCAAGTCAAAATGTTGGAAAGCTTCGCCGGTGTCGCCTTCTGGAAGTTTTGCTCGAGTTTTGGGAAGCTCCGACAACGTTGCTGCCTTCAAGTGGCGCATGTTGGCTTTCTGAAGGGGTCTGGCCCTTCCTTCCGGGCCCCGTGGAGTTACTGGACCCCCAGCAAGCAACTGCGATCCTGAAAGACGGCTGTGTTGTGGTGCCTTGGGGCAGTCAAACCTGCTGCGGCGACGGTTGTGTGGTGACTGCTTGTGACACGAAACAGGACAAGGCCCGGATTTTACGAATAGCCCTGATAGTTTAGTTTTACCAATAGCTCCTGACGCAGACACATTTTCTCACCGAGAAGCCAAAAAAAGAATTTGCCTGACGCAACCTGGTAACTCATAAGGGTCACTAATCATTGCGCGATAATTGTAAGCTGGGTTCTATTAACCCTGGCCTTCCAGCCACCAGGCCTCCCAAGCAACGATCGCCACAAGCAGGGTGAAGCATTGAAAGGGAGGTGAACCATGGTCTCCTGCTTGACCTTCCCTCTTTTTTTTGGGCAAAAGCTTTATGTTAGATTTGAGTGTGTGCTGACCCCATATTAATCGACCCCTGCCTATTAATGGGGGGGGGTCTGGGTTTCGTGGTTGGAATCAGACCACTTTTGGAGGGCCCCCCTCCCCCAACAAGGACGTCTAAGGTTGCTGAAAAACCCTGTCGACTTTGCGTCGGCCAAAGGAAAGCATGGGAACTGCCCAAACATCTTGATTGGAGGAACTTCACAACCCTGGGTACGGTAACCAAAGACTGTGCTTTTGCGGCCCCCTACTGCCAACGAGCAGAACAAACAAAACAAAAAAAAACACTTGCCGAGAGCAGTGAAGGAACTGGTCTCAAACTCATTGGCCTCCAAATGGCTTCCATTTGCAATCCTGTACAACCTCCATTTGCTGAAGGCCCCCCGGAGAAGAATAACATGATGTCCAAGCCGCTTTGAGCAAAGCAAGGCGTCGCCCGCCGCCCGCCCGCGCGCCTTTGCCCCACGTGCAACGTCAGCTGTCGCGTGAGCTTCCCGCCAGCGTTGGCCCCTTGGAAGGTGTGCACGGCCTCGCGAAGCTGGGCCATGGCTGTGGCTCTGTATTTTTGCAATATATGGGTGTGGCTTGAAGGGGAACCCTAGATTAAAACAACCCCTCAAAGGGGACTCTTTTTAAAGCAACCCCTCAAAGGGGAACTCTCACAAAGAGACACTCACCCATACGTCCAAACCAAGGAAATCCGGGGTCCTTGAGCAAAAGACCTATACTTACATCATGTGAGCTCGGTTCACGACCCCACCCCAACCCAACCCAGCACCCCACCAACCCAACCCAGCACCCCACCATCCCACCACCCAAACCCCCACCCCACCCCACCCCACCCTGCCCACCCCCCACCCCACCCCACCCCCACCCCACCCCACCCCCCACCACCCCACCCCCCCCCAAGTTGCCTCAGAGTCCGCCACCACGATGGTCCCCTCCTGGTGCGGATCCCACAAGGCGCTCTTCACCTCGGATTCCGATTCCAAGGCGCTCAAACCGAAGGATCTGACGTGGAGGGCCACACGAAACGGACTCCACCCGGCTTTGGTCCTCTCTAACCCCTCTGCAAAAAGTCTAACTTGTTTTGTGGGTTCAATGGCAGAGCCTTGCTTTCCCAAAAGGTTCTAGTCTAAAGATCCAACCCAGTAGCAATCAACCCAGGCTCGCTCCACCATTTGCTGCCGAAAGCGCAGAGGCGCCTACCTGACACCTTGGGTGATTTTTGGGTTTCACACCACCTTTTGAATTGGCATTCAAAGGGAAACCACAAGGACCTTCGTTGGCATTCACGGATAATTGAAACCAAAAGGACGCCAACCATTGTTGGAACTCCCCCCTTTGAGACACACCCCACGCTCGGATCTTGATGGATTTACGACAGGGATGGTTGCAGTGAACAACAAGAGCCTGGCCAGCTAAAAGGGGCACCCAACGGAGGCTGTTTAGCCCATATAGGTAGTTCAACACATGTTTAAACAGAGGTTGGGCCAATCCTGGCTTATAAGATGCAACTACTTAGTTTCTACTTTCCGGGATGCCCCTCAACCCTCTCCCCGATTGGTGGTTGGAGTTAAAGTTACATCTCTTTCTCCCGCCACCCGAATAATTGCCTGATAAAAAATGCATTCATTGGAAATGAACCAACAAAAGGGGGATCGGCTCTAGTCTCGACAGTCACACGTGTTGTTACATGACCATGCAATGCAACGAGTCGTGTGTGATACTTCTTCACAACATCAAGCACTTGTGTTGCAACGGAAACGGCTGCACGATCATCCAAAAGCAGCACCACAGCTCCAATCACCACAAACTCCCTCCATCCCGAGCACTCAACACAGTACGCCCAAGCGCCAGTTCCCTGCTCACAATCGAAAGGCCGAGGGCCCCGGCCGGCGCCAAAGGGTTCTCCTCAACATGTGACGTGTTCAGCGACCAAGCCGTTGGTTCCCTCAGAGAAGCCAGAAAGAGGTTCTTCCTTTGACACTGTGTGCTTCAACATGTAGCAACGGTGCTTCAGCATGTAACACGGGGTTGGCCCAGTCATCCGGCTTCCGAAACCCATCCTACCAGGGGTCTCACCAAAGAGGATGTTCACCAAGAGGGAACACCGGGGCTCAAATCGATCAAAATCAACCAGTGCACTGCATTGCTCAAAAGCTCTCCTCGTCTACTGCCAGGTGGGTCTGCGACATCTGCCCCTCCGCGTCCCGGAAGAGCCGCAGGGACGGGCCTCGGATAGCGAGCGAGCGGACAGCAACCTCTTGTGTTGGCGAAAAATTGGTGGGTACTGCTGAGAGGGACCAAGCCAAAAACAACTGGAATCCATCGATTTTTCAAGCAGACCCCAACGAGGTACTGGGTCCAGTTTGCTCCTTCTCCGTTTCTCTGTTTCCGAGCCGATCTCAGATATCAATATAGTATCAGCCATTGTTTAGCTAAGTTAAGTGGCTCGATTGGGCGCCTGTTGCACAATCGCAGAGTTTGGCCGACAAGATGGAAGGCGGAAGGCATTCCGATCAGGATGCCCTCCTGATACTGTTGATGGTCCCCAAGGGGGCTTTTGATTAGGTCCCTTCCATTTCGCCGTCCGTTGGGAAGTGGGTAAATGGTCAACCCTTGGTAACCATCCCTTCAACCCGGCCAGCCGATTCGGAGCCAAGCGCGTGTGTTTCACCTCCCTCTCAATTGGCTTGGGGAGTCGGGACCCCGCCTCGGATAACAATCAACACCTGGTCTTATATTCAACTATTTGCGAGGACTTCCAAGGCTTCCTTGCCCGTGACACTCACAAATTCACAAATGCTTGGTACTGTCACCTAAACTTCAACCCACATTGAGTGGATTCAACTATTTGCGAGAACTTCAAATCACTTCTTGCCCTCAAAACTCTGAGACTCTGGTCGCTCCCCTTTGACAGGGAAAATCGATTTGGCCCTATCGAAACCAAAGGAAACCGAACCTATCTAACCCACCCTTGCATCTTGATGATCCTTGAGAACCGGGGTTTTCAACACCCCTACGCTTCACGATGTTCATTCTGACCGGTGTCTAGGGCGCGGTCTACTCTTTCCGCCCGCGTGGTTCAGGCCGGACGTCAGTACCTCAATATCGAGGAACTGGGGCATCTGGGGCATCTGGTATGGGTGTTCGAGGTACGGATGCGTCACCACCAATAACCAATATTAAGCTTGTAGCGTAATATATATATATATATACATACATATATATATATATATATACCCTCCAACTATGAAACACCTCGCGATGAAAACTGTGTCTGGGGTGAGATGTGTTTCTAATTCACGAACCTGACATATGGGGGTTCTCCCAAACAGAAGACTTGATCATGACAGGCGCAAACCAAGTCTCGCGAGCGCTATGATTTGCCTGGAGCTATTTTTGACGATAAAAGCAAGCCGCCCACAAACACCGAAGGAGCAAGTAGCAACCTCTTGATTTGCTTGAAGGCCCTGGCCGGCCGGGCCCTCTCCGAACACTTTCCATGTTCAGTTGGTCAAAATGGGATCCCCAATCCAAATCCGTAGTGGTTGACAGCAATACACCCGGGGAAACCACTATCTGGCATAAGGATTTGGAATTGGTAACGACACACTTTGTAGGGACCAGAGCATGATCGAAACAGCAAACAATAGTGGGACGCTAAACCTGTTCTGCTCTTGCCATGCCCTTTCGTGCGCTGAGTAGCAACTCTCCCCATGAAACCTGCCTCAAGAGGCACGGTATGTGGACCCAAGGGAAGCCAAAGTGAAAGCCAGCCAAAAGGGAAACCAAAAGGCACGCCCGAAGTCGCAGTCTGAGTCATTCCTTCTGAGCTACCGGGCGACCCGGGGGTCCGTAGGGGACGGGCTGATCAGCCACACCTGGGAAAAAGGCTTTGGAAGCACCGTTATTGTTCTGGCTACAACAAGAAGGGCATAAACCACTAGAAGCGGTACAACAAGGCCTGAGTTATCATAAGATGAGGTGGGGTACTATTAAAACACATTGCCTCATCATAGAAGGGTCCTGTTTATTTGTAATTGTCGATCCCCTGTCCCCTCTTCAACATCAACCCAGCTGGCCAATCGGATTTTCAGAGGGCCCAACAAGGCAAGACTTGAATCCTCACGGCCCACCAGAGGCGTCATACGGAATTGACAGGCCCTGTTGACTCGTTGAACCTGATGGTCTAGACATCTTTTAAGCAGCCCGGTCCCAAGAACTTGAAATTTCTTGGTCGACCTCCACTGCCTGTATGACCACTTTCAGCTGGGGTTTTGAGCTTTGCCGTGTGAAGGCCCATGTTGTCTTCCTGTCTAAACCGGCGAGCTGCCCAAACGATCTTTAAAAAACGCAGGTGGACGTGTTGACTTGCTCGCGAGCTTGCTTTTACAGGGTCCAAAGTGAGATCCTCAAAATGACCGATTGAATGATGGTTTGGAGGGAAATCCCCTCCAAACGTAATCTCGAGAACCCACAACACCCACTCTTCGATCCAGAAAAGTGGGGAAGCCCCATGCTGGAATCAACTGGCTGGGCCTCATCATCCGTCGCCGTGGACTGCTTGCCTTGGAAAAGCGCCGAGGCACGACGCCGGGATGAGCATACCACGCGTTGCGTCGTTGTGTGGGTTCCGCAAATGAGGACCCATCAATAGTGGCATTTTCACTCGGAAAAAATAATAATATAGAAATATATATATATATATAAAACACAAACATCTCCGTGTTTTGTTTGGGGCAGGGGTGGGCTTGCTCTTTGGGTGAGCCTGAAAGGATTCTATCAAGCTTGAAAGGATTCTATCAAGCTGAGCTCTGGGGCGATCAAAATGTGCTCCCGTATCGATCCATAGCCCAAGTCACCCGCCAAGTGGTAGGTTAACGGAAAGCACCCCCGTTTGCTGACTTTGATGTTAACCCGAAAACACAGTCCAAAAACAATGACCCCAGACAGAGTATTGGATGAATTGACCCAACCTCAGGTGATGCTTAGGACCCATTTGGCGGCTGCTCTGCTTGCTGCGCAATGCCAACCTAGACCCAGCCGTTGGACCCTCAAATCACCCCATACATTTTAGGGCCATACCCAATGTCCATTGGTAGTTTGAGTCCAGGAATCCGTTTTAGTCTGAGGTCCCCAAGGGGTTGATGAGAATGCCCATGACCCCTAGTAAAAGTTCTGCGGAAGGCTACATCAAGCACTCTATTCACCAAAACCATCTTCCAAAACCCACAAGGTTGCTCTCAAAACCACGGAAGCATTTCGGACCATAGATCGGTTCTGGTCAATACGCAGCATCCAACTGCAATAAGGAATCTACCCCGCCAGATAACATAGAACCTGACAGGAGGTCCCTTTAACAGGAAAATGATGTTCCACCAAATGCGCCAAAGGGGCATGCATCCAGAACCAAAGCAAAATGACTCAAACTGACCTCAAAACGGCAACGGCCCTGGCCAGCTTCCCATCCAAGGCGCAAGTGATCTCCGCGGAGTCCTCTGAAAACTCCACCTAGGTCTAAGCCCGATTGGACATACCGAAATCAGTGGGAAAATACTTGATTGTGGGTTCTACCAGATGATGGTGGCTATATATGTGGGTATTGCTTATACATGGATGATACATAGGCCGCACCAAAGCCATGCAGGTCAAGCACTCAAATGGCACTCTAAAGCGGGGTGCGCGCCGATTGTCTTGCCCTCCCAGGTGCGCCGCATCATGCATGCCATTTGTGCGGTTTTGAAAACAACCGGGGTCCCCTAAAATGGTAAACTTCCTCTTGGTTTCCCCTAGCTACCATCCAAAGGGGGGCCCGCCATCTGGGCTCAAAACACCTTGGCGCAACTTCCAGTCGCACATCGCAGCCCTCACCTGCGGGGAGGGGGGGCTTGCCCCCCGCCGAAGCGAAAAAGCTGGGATGCCGGCCAAGTGGATCTCGTTCTGGCTCTGCAAATCGCAGGTGCCTGTGGCCCGGCCGATGAAACCATCGGTGGCTTTTCTTTGCCAACCTGTGTCTGCCGGGGTCAATCGGGTCTGGTGTTTTTATGTCATTAGGAAGCCTTTGCCGGACATTTTAAATTCGATGGGGTTCTATGTCCAACCACTTGGGAGGGGGTTCCCTACTAAAATTTATAGCCAGAAAGTAGCACCAGGACTTGAGGTGCACGGAGCTCACAACCTTGAAGTTAAGCAAGCCATTCCCAATAAGCCCTATGGAGACAGTAAATACTTTGTTGCCCGAGAAAAACAGAAAAACTCATAAGGCAATTACAACTAGCAATGCTGTACCACTGCAGTCGCACTAGGGGGCTCTATAAAACAAATTGAACTCTGAGTTGAATTGCAAACTGCAAATTATATCTTCCAAATTGAACTGGTTTTGCCAAAACAATGCCTTCCCTACTCCGCGAAATACGACGGTGTCGTTTTTTGTGCAACGCCCCCGAACTGAATGCCCATCCTCGTACTAACAAACATTGCTCCACCCCCAGGGTAATATGTGGCTGTGTCTTTTCAGGGACCCAAACACGGTGGTTTGCCTCTTGGCTTCCCTTTAAAACCCAAAAAATGCTACATCCAAAAAAGACACCCATTTCTATTGGGAGGGCCGTAGGTGGAAGGCACTCCAATTTGTGCCGAGACACGCCTGAGGCTGATCCGCCACTCTGAGACCATCGCCTCTTTTCCAAACCGGCTGCTTCTGGCTTTTCGTTTCTGTAAACGTAGGACCGACAGAAAGCATGGGACGCCAAAAGGAAAATCCCCAGGTAAGGCTCGGAAAGGGATCCCCAGACTTGCCCGCCACAACCAACGCGAAGGCGCCGAATCCGACCGCGCCGTGAGCGAAAGCGCCTACCATGAAGCGGTGCCGGCCCGGCTCTGCCCCCGGCCTCGAATGTTTTTTGAACATCAAGTGCAAGCAAGCTGCTCGTTGCCCCCCACACCTCTGCACAAGTCCTAACATTTTTCACCAAAGGGGTCTACTTAGCTTGGCGTACACCTCAAAACCCCTCAAGCACTTCTCACCACAGGCCACAGTTCCATATTTTGAGGGAAAACCCTTTTGCTTGGCTCACAAGAGAAACCAAATTTTCAAACCCGAACCGCGCCGTGGAGGCCTTCGGTTCGAGGCGGCCCTAATGGCATGGGCATACCCGGTAGTAGTCGAACCAGAATCTGATTTGGGTGTGTCGTTTTTGAGAAAACCCATGTTTGGTAAGTGTTCAAGGGAAAACAAAAGCAAAAAACAACACAATACAGATGTTCTTCTTTTGGGGGGGGGACCGAGCTATGCATTTACAAACTCCCGGAAGCCGGCAGCCACACTTGAAGTTATTCCCGAGACTCGCATGAGGAAACCCTTCGACTTGGGCAGTGCGAAAAGTTCTCCGGTTGCTGGATGGAAGCGAAGGAAACCCAGAAGGGCAACGACGGAATGGGTTTGTCTCACAGGAGCAGCCACAAAACAGCTGGATTCGTTGTGGTTTCCCTCTACACCCTCTCCAAAAAAAGGTCGCCAGAAGAAGAAAAGATACATGCCCACGTATTATTATTGGTCAAGTCCGCCAATGTAGATAACAAGTCGAATGCACGCAGAGCCGCAAAAAACGTGAAACATGGCCACCGCAGACTCGCCAACCCCGTGCTGGAGACAAACATCCGAGAGATGCACGGAAAAACCATCAACTCACGTCATATCCTTCAATTTCAACAACATCCACATAGACAAGCACCATAGGGTACCCACTGTTCCGCTTGGATGTTTTCCTATTTGCTGGACGCCCCGAGAAGAAAAAAAAGGAATGAAAGCAACAATAAATGAAGGTAAAATAGACAATCCCTTACTTGGTCAAAGGACCTGGAAATGAAAAAAAAAGAAACAGGTTGGCCTTTTGGGGGTCCTTGAAGGTTGAGCCGCTTTTGCAAGTGAGCTCCCACCCATAGCCATAGCACCATGGCAAGCCACCCAGGGACCTCCCGACACGACACTCGGGGCTCCGGCAGAGCTGCCACGCACCTGGAGGGCTGCCTGCATAGCCAGACCTGGGATCCGTGGCTCGCTCCCATTCGAGTCGACTCGAGGGAGGACGAATCTAAACTCAGGCGATATCCCCAGCATGCGGTGCTCTTTTTGGTCGCACCACCACGCAGCCCTCGCAGAACCTCGTGGAACCCTCGTGGAACCCTGGTGGAACCCTCGTGGAACCCTCGTGGAACCTTAGCTCCGGGGCCCGCACCACCCCGGAGCCTATCTGGGCTGAGACCCTAAGCTTTCAGCTGTTGGGGGGAGAAAAAAAACGGGAACAGCCAAAAGGAATCCGAAGGAAACCAAAGGTTACCTTTTCACAATTTTCATTTTGTCCTTCACCTTCCCTGTTGGTGCGAGCCAAAGAAAACCCAAGCCTCCACCGGCGGGGGAAAATGGACTTGTCCCCCAAACGAATCGGCGGGCGCTTCTTCTCAGGCTAGGGGCTCCGGTTGGGCACAACGTCGGCTTTGGGCTGGGATTTGTTGATCTTGAGGGTTGACTTCAGGTGGGTTGGACTTCAGCCTCTGGATGCCGCAAAGTGCAAAGCCCGTCCCTTGGCACAAAAAGATGCTGCTGGTAAGAGATGAGCGCCCAACTGCACGCATCTGATGCCATCTAATCTGAACCGCCTCAGCTTTTTCGCCACCAGCCAATCATCATGTATATTTTGATTCTGCCCCATTTTGAGTGAACCTTGAAATGCGCAAATCATTGAAAAGCGAGTTCCAAAAGGACAACAAAGATCCCAACTCTTTGACACGGGTGGAAAGAGCATCCTGACTTGGGACCAGCACGCCAGCACGTTGCGGCGGCGCAGACATGGCGAGATGATGTCGCCGACGGGTTCCCGGCGGAATGGGGCGATTGTGCCAATAGGGAGGGTGCTGCCACACCTACGAATACTATGTGACACTGCAGGGGTCCTAGTTTGATTGTAGACACCCATTTGCCCCTGCAGGGTCCACAGTCTGTTGCATCTTTTTGGCGCCTCTCTTTTGGTTCGCAAGATGTCAGGACATCCATGCCAATGTGTCTTCAAGGTTGGTTCGTATCTGTGCGTGTGTGTGCCCGTAGAAACGCGTCGTGGTTTGCTTTGCATGTAAAAATTATCCAACGAAAGTACCTAGCACCATCTGACTAGCCAGTCGCCTGGCCAAGCACGACTTACGCAGTGTGAATTTTGGGCATGTGGCTGGATCCGTGCTTCTAGCATTCCTACAAACTGGCTGCAAAGGCCCGTGCAAAGGGTGCACCCACGATGCTTGCACAGAACACGAAAAGAAAAAAAATCGATCCGTGGCCAACGGGTCTGATTCGGTGCATCGGTCGATCATTGCAAGCTCGCAGCTGCCCTTGCTTGCATCTCTGTCCCTGAGCGGCGTGGCAGGCGAGCGATTGCGAGCAATTCCACTAAACAAATGCTTGGGGGCAAGCGAGACAAGCCAACACCCCATAAAGGGCTAAGTCCAACCATGCCAGCAATCACCCGAGCCGCAAGCCACCTCTTGTGTTTGCAAAGGCTCATAACCTGCAATGTTGGTGCTTCTCCTGGTTTGCAGAGGTCAACTCATCAGGGATCCTTACATGAAAATCACCTGAACTTGCAAATGGTGGTTTCCCTGTATTTTGGTGAAAAAAGCTATGTTTCAAATGGGCAAAATGTATCTTTTAAGGAGCCCTGCTTATGTTTCCCCGGAACATGTGCTGGCTGCTCTTCCCTGGCAAAACTATTTTTTGCCGGCGCTAATCGACGCAGGTGAAAGTACCTGGGGCGTCGTCGTTATCGTCGTCCACCTAGGCCGAAGGCTACAAAAGGTTCTAGAAACTGCACTAGTGTCAAATATGTGAACTCCCTCATATGTCCCACTCCACGTTGTGCCTGTCCAGAAAATGCTGAAGGAGCGCTTGTCCATGGACCCTCACATAACCCAAACACACCCTTGGGGCGTTGATTGCCACCTACAGCAAGGGTTGCTAGTGCAAAGCCAAATGAAACAAATCATGCGGCGAAAGGAATGCGCGAGGAACGCAAAATCATCTCACCATCCCTTCAATTAAGCTTCTCCTGGGCAAACCCTGGATCCGACAGCATTGTTGTCCGTCACTGGGTTGCTCCGTTTGTTTCTCTTGTCGTTGGTCAGCCCAGGAAAAGGGCGATTCACAAGAAAGGATCAAATCGGTACCGGCCACAAAGAACAAGGCAATGTTGAAAGATTGCTGATAAACCTTGCTCTAAAGGGCTCTGCAAAACAATCGCTCAGGGGACCATACATGGGATCATACGTGTGTTAGGCCGCACTCCGGATACCTCTCTTTGCACACAGCCTCGCCAAAACCATGCTGAAGAACAAATTGGCAACACACACACACACACGCACATGATGTTCAAAGTGGCCCGGAAATGGATGTGTGTTGTGCCGGAACCGTATGAGCGTTCACACATGTGTATATATATATATATATATACATAGATGTATGTCTACATATAGATATATGTCTTTCACATCCACAAATATATAATGTGTGTATCATTCAATTCGCGTGTCTTGTTTGAAGAGCCTTCATTCTGGGAAACTACTGTCTCACAGTGGCGACTGGGTGGTTTCTGTTGGGCTTCATGAAAAAAAACACCCAAAAATGGTGCTAGTAGCCGCGCAATACACACACATACATGGGCGCGGTGTTTGTTCTTTTGGTGTCCAGATAGAACCAAAATGGCGCCCTCAAAAAAAACAGACCCACATACATGGACATGAGTTTGAATAGGGAGCCAACTCACAAGCGGCTGGTGGACCTGAATTCCTAAATGATGTCCACCAGCGGTCTGTATGAAAAATCGTACCCATATATGACCGGAGTTCTGCATTGATTGATCCGGTGAAATCGGAGCCCGAGAACAGAGGCCCGCGCCACCTCGAAGAAGGGAGGCGCAGACTGGCCGAAGCTTGAGAACGTTTGGTCGCTGGTTCTATGGGAATCAATGGCAATCACAAGGTATTTAAATCTCAGATGCCCAGTCGATTTCCATGGGGAAAAAAGGATCCTCACCCTTCTTTGGTTGCTTGAGGCTAAAGGAACCGGAACCCGTGCCCAAGAAAAATTGAAAAAGGGGGCACCACTGGGCAAGAGGGAATCCGCAGCCGTTTGGGGTCAGATACCCGATCCTTGGCTTGAAACTTGAGGCCGCAGGCTTGGGGCAAGGCTGTTGGGCTCCGAAGTGGTCAAAAAATCGGGGCCCGAAGTCTGTCCACCATTTCGTGTCCCCTGGCGCGCCCACACTGGAATTTCTTGAAGCAGAAGCAGCCCATTTTGGGGTTGGATTTTTCTGCCCGTTTCGGGGGAAACTTGCAGTTTTTCAGGAGATGAGGCAATGGTGGCTACAAACCTTTTGGTATTGTTTCCGGTTAGGAATTTTAGGAGATCCATTGGTTCATTCCCAACGCCCGGTTGAGCCAGAATCAGAACCTGTGTGGATGAAGGTTAGTAAAGGACAATCGATCCCAGTTGCGGCACCCCAAGTTTTTCATTTTGCCAAAGTGGGCAGACAATTTGGATGGTGGCTTCCTCATTCTCCCAGATGATTTTGGTATGTCGCACAAAAAGAAGGTCAACCGGGTTTGGAGGGCTTGAAAAGGAAACCAAAAGACACTGGAAGCCTCCTTTTCCGCTACCCCCGCCTGAGCCGAGGTTAGCTCCTGAAGCTGGTCCTTGCATTCGGACGTATTGCTTGGCCACCGGCTACGAATTGCTAGCCTGTGGACCAGGAGTTTTTGGAATGCCAAGCGTAGGGGAAACTCGTTGGTTCGTCAATCCCCGCTTAAATGTGACACCTTCAATTCAGACGTGATGTGGGCCAGAAGCCACAAAGTCTCAGGCTGTGGCTGTGAACCACCAGCAAAAAAACGCGTGACACATGACACCTGCAAAGGTTGGCACGTAATCTTGTCACACTTCCTGGCCAGGGCCCCACTCCTGCCACTCCCTGGCCATGTGCCATGAGGTTGGCTTGGAACCTTCACCAGAATCTGCAAAATCTGCTGTCAGACTGTCTGAATGAGGCAGGAGCTCTGCCGTGTTCCCGTTTCCGCCACCGCAAAATGGCAGAAATGTGTTGCTGCGCAACGGCCGGTTTCCCAGTCTAACGGTCACTGAGCGCCAAGTCATCAGCGGCAAGACTGTCCGCCGCTGCCAACCTCTAAAGGAACCTCCCACCAAGGGATGTTGGCCTGCTTCCGGCACACTGCAAAGCGCTCTGTACTTTCCTCTGTCTTCTTTCAGAAAGGGATGAATTTTGGCAACTGCAAGCACACCCATACACCCACCTGGCTTCCCCATGATCGCAACGCCGCAGGCGCCGCTGCATCTGCCCGAGCCACATGTGCCTGAATTGTCTTGAAGTCAGTGAAGCGGCAAAACTCATACGGGGTCAGCTCAAAAAGCCTCGTCTCATCAATTGGCCATTTGCGAAGTGGCGGGAGAACCTGGCTCTTGCGCCTGCTTTTGCTTTTGCTATTGCCTTTGTTTTTGCTCTTGCTCTTGAAGTTCCCCCTCTTCTTCTTCTTCTTCTTGTGCCCTTTGGCGGCGTCTTGCGAGATGCAACCATTCAATATGCTCTGCAGCGTTGAGACATGTTTGATTTGGATCGGCTGCGCTGCCGGTATTGGTTTGTGCGTGGATCTTGCGGCAAGATTCTTGGTATTTGCCATACTCCAGGCCAAGAATCTCCTGGTTCACTTCTTCAATCGGCTTCACAGTCTGCCAGTTGGTGTCCTGATATTGAAACGCTTCCATCATTGTGGCATTTGCGGCCTTGAGCTCATCGACGCCGCCGAGCTTTTGAAATGCAAGGACAGGGGCAAGGACCTTTTCGCTGGTGGTTGCAGCCTATGACAGCGTCGCAAATCGCCTCGCATATGTAGCAAAAGCCTTTTGATCTGCCGGCGAAATGTGCTTGCCAGTGGTCAATGACTCACGAATCACCGAAGGCGGTGTTGACACGCCTGGCGGCTGTTCGGCATACCTTCAGCCCAGCAGTGATAACAAGGCCAGAGAATTGCGGCACTGCATTCACAACCGTTGCAATCACTGCCGGATGCAGCAGGCTTTTGAATGGGAGGAGCGCTCGGAGTCCCTGGCTCAAGATCACTAATGTCAGAAATAATCCACGAACACCGCACGGCGCTCCGATTGAGCGCAAGTAAGTTGCGTTCTCCATAGCGCGCAAAATTTTGCGACTGCCCACCGGTCCTCCTCCGAAGCGCGGCGCGTCACTAGGGTGTGTTGGCAAGGCAGCCCAATGTTCTGCGATGCTGCGGCACACGAGTCGGCTGCGAAATGGCGATTTCGGGAGCATCATATTCTCGTTCATGCTGTCGGGACTGCTTTCTGCTTGAGCTAAGTAGTCATATGCCAATAATTGAACGCGGTCCACTATTTTGATAAACCCGTACAGCGCGAAACGCTGAGCCCCAAAGGATTGGCAACCCATGCAACATTCTGATCGAAGCTCTTGCCTCCGCGGGAGTTCAGTGCGATAGTGCGATGGGTTCATCTCTTTGGCCAACCAGTGTGCCGAGCGCGTGAGTTCGCGTGAATCCAATGACACAAACCCCATTTGCCGTCTTCATGTTTTGCTCATTTGCAAAGTCCTTGAAGGAACGAATTACGACCGCTGAGGTCCTCATACTCAAATTGCCAGGGATCGCCCACTGGCGTTCGTTCAGAAATCGCTCGGCTTTGGGTGGATCCCCTCTTCGTTGATGGGAAAACTGCATGATTGTCCAGCTTTCCAGTAGCGCCTGCGATGAGGAGCGTGAGCACCGCCAAGTCCTTGTTCCCCGTCGCGTTACCAAACAAAACAAGCTGTGAGCAGCCTGCGTCACTTGCAACGCAGCAGCCCCAATGCCAGGTGCACTCAGGCGAATGAGAACCTCTTGGGCGGTGAGCACTTTAAGTATCATTGATCCTTGTTGCTTCAACCTGGTCAAGTGTCCCTTCGAACGCTGTGTGGATCTGAGACATGGCTCCCCGAAGACCGCACAACGGCGAGTCTCTGCTTGAGCCAAAATGGCTAAGTTTGTGTGAGGGGGGTGCTGTTCCCCACATAAACCACCATGCGGGGTGAGGTCGTGTGAGGTCGCTATAATTCACCCAGCAAAATGAGTCGAGCAGAGGCAAGAGGCACATTGCCAAAGCAATTGAGTTCCACGCAACAGGAAGCCGGGAGAACACCTTTGCGGGCGGTATCGTATCTGTACATCCGCTCCCCCCCAACCTAAAAAATCCACCTCTGGCGAAAACTATGTTTGTTCAGGCCAAAATCAAAAAAGTCGCATTTCGCCTGTATTTTAATTTGACCCAATACCAAAGCAACACTACACTCCTAAAAGCACTCATTATAGGGCACGTTCAGCTCCCTGAATTGTAACTATAGTTTTGATTTCGCCTTTAAGAAATGGCTTGACAAATCCAAGGAAGTGCCTTGAGCAACTTCATAATTGATGTCCCTACGACTACGATTTTGACGGCTTTTCGAGCCCGGCAAGCGACCCCATTTGGACGCGGACCCTTGTGGAAACCCCCTGGAACCCCTGACCCTATTAATAAATGTGATGTCCAATAACCTAACGATCCTCGAACATGAAACCGGAAATTTGGGGAAGGCCGTACTCTCTGCCCCAAAACTATTCCATAGAAGACGACAGCCGAAGCAATTCTTGGGGGTGTGACCTGTAGGTCTTCTACCCCAATTCAGTCGGAAGAAAGATTCTTCCACAGGACGGCTTGCACGTCCTCCAGGGACCTCCGCAGCGCTCGCGCGTCTACCTCCAGGTCCTGTTGACCAGCCTGAAGCGGACAAACGTGGCCGCGGGAGCTGGGGCTGCTGAGGGTGGGGTCTTGGCCGCACCTGTCATCCTTCCCTTCCTACATCTCTCTCACCCATCTCCTCACGGTCTAATCCATCAGCTTGAGATGGGTATGAGAGAGAGAGAGAGGGAGAGCGAGTTGTCAAACTACATGCTTCACTTTGCACTCTTGTTGCATGTATGTTCACTACCGCAGGCCTTGAGCTTACTACTCCGCATGAGTCAAAAGGTTGGCAGCTGCAGACTACATTGGTTGACTGTTTGTTTGAACACTACAGCACTTGCACTTGTAAGCAAAGTAACAACCGATTTTAACGTGGTAGCGGAGCTGAGATCCTAAACATAGGGGAGCTCCAGTAAGCAGTAAGTACTACAACAACAGAGCAACAGCAGCTACATGCCAAACTACTACGACATGTCAGGAGAAGCAGCATCAGCCTCAGCACAACAAACTACAGGAGCAGAGAACGGGCCAACAGCAGACACAGTAGGAGCCACGACTACGGGAGCAGGAACAGAACAAGACAACGACGTTCAGAGACTACATAGATACAAACTGCCACCACCCTTCTTCACTGGTGACTACTCCCAGTATGAAGAATGGCTGTTCAAGCTACAAGCATACCTCGGCCTCATAGACCGAGACTTCGACCTGGTGCTACAACTAGCACAAGTGGCTACACGACAGATTGAGGACACAGACATCAGAACACACATACTCGACCCTACACAAGCAAGCAAAGCAGTAGACCTCTCCAGAGATCTACACTACATCCTCATCAACATCTGTCAGGGAGCAGCAGCTACAGTAGTAAGGCAAAACCGCTACAACGCAAACGGATGTGAAACACTACGACTACTACACAACAGGTTCAGCCTACCAGTAGGAACAAGGAGCGTTGGTTACCTTACCAAACTACTGGAACCCACATTCAACGAAGCGCAGTTTGAAGAACAATTTCTACAATGGGAATACGACATCAACCGCTACGAGAAAGACAATGGAACAGCACTACCAGATGGAATCAAAATAGCAATACTACTCAACAAAACCAAAGGAGCACTGCAGCAACACCTCCAACTGCGAGCTGGACAGATCACGAACTACATCGAGATCAGAGCACTCATCCTGGACTACTACAAAACGATTTCAGCCTTCACTAGATCTACTTCAGCAGTAGGAACAAACTACAATGGAGGAACTGCACCAATGGATGTTGACAACATATGGAGGAAAGGAAGAAGCTACAAAGGCAAAGGAAAAGGAAAAGGCGGCTACAAAGGAAGCAAGAGCAAAGGCAAGTACAGGAGTAAAGGACACTACAAAGGATTCGACAAAGGCAGCAAAGGAAACTACAACAAAGGAGGATACAACAAGAGCAAAGGAAAAGGCTACTCAGGATCCAAAGGATATGGATCAAGCAAAGGCTACAAAGGCCAAGGAAACTACAGCAAATCAAAAGGAAAAGGAAGCAACAACTACACAACATGCCATCGATGTGGCAAGCCCGGCCACTGGGCACAAGACTGCAGAGTGCCGGTATGGCACATAGGAGAAGGAGAAGAACTACATCCACTAGAACAAGAACAAGCAGATCACGACAACAATGATGAACTACCTCAGGATGTGAACGACACTTGGGACTGGTACTACGAAGGAGAAGAAGGACAACATGAGGTGAACTACATGGAGGAGAACTGGAACGACTACGACTATGACAACAGCTGGGATTGGAATGACAACAGCTATGAGGACACAGCGAACTACATTGGAGGCATCAACGAGTCACACCTCACCATTGGACACATCAGACAAGCAAAATCACGACTACACAAGCACAAATCCAAATCACTACTTGGCAAGAGAACAACACACACAACATCATGGAACGACCACAGCAAGAGCTTTCAACAATTCCTACAAGAAGACACCACAAAGCTACACTTCGACATAGCAGCAGCAAGACAACAACAAAGGAACAAGAAGATTGAGGACACTATCACCCACTACATCATGTACTCCAACTTCAAGTCATACCACCACCTGTTGATCGACTCAGGAGCATCTACACATGTTTGCCCAAAGGACTACGCACCGGATCTTCCACTACGACCCTGTGGAGAATCAGTTCCACAACTCTACACGGTGACCAACAAACCGTCTCCAAAGCAGCTTGCTCGTACCTCACTGCAGCTGCCGCCACACCGCGTGCAGCAGCTACCTCGACTCGGCGCTGCGAAGTTTTCGGCATGACATACGCAAGCCCGCCGCTTTGCGTGCCACACTCGTGCACTACAGTAAGTTTTTCTGTTGAAACAAGTGCATGGCCGTGGCGGCCGTCTCTCCTCCCGCAGGCGGCCCAGGAGCACAGGCAACTGGCAGCGGTTCACTTCCGACGGATCCGCTCGAAACAAAAATACTCAACTGGCGAATTAACAGACTTCAGCCGTACATGTGGCAAGCAGGCCTCGAACTTCGGTTTAAAGGAAGCTATCAGTGCTGGACATACTTATCTTTTTCTGGGGGCCTTCGGCAATTGGAAGACTTGATAAGGCCGCGTGGGGTCACAGCAGACGTTATCATAAAGCCCTCTCACGGCTGTTAGCAAGTTGAAGGACTTCCCTTGGCGCCGCCTGCCAAGCCTCCTCGCTCGCGAACTTGGTCCAAGCCTGACATGCAGAGAACGACTCCACACGCCGGTTTTCTACGAACCAACTCTGCAAGTCTCTCTCTCTTTTGTGGGAGTCTCTGCGAGTTTGTCTCTGAGGGGGGTTCTCTCTCTCTGAAAGTCTCTCTCTGTCTCTCTGGGAGTTTGTCTCTGAGGGGTTCTCTCTCTCTCTCTCTCTCTCTCTCTCTCTCTCTCTCTCAGAGTCTCTCTAGGGGTTTGTCTTTGAGGGGGGTTCTCTCTGAGAGTCTTTTTGTTGGGGTTCTCTCTCTCTGGGGGTGTCTCTCTGAAAGTCTTTTTGTGGGAGTCTCTTTGGGAGTTTGTCTCTGAGGGGGGGGTTCTCTCTGTCTGGAGTCTCTCTCTCTGGGAGTCTTCTTCTCTGAAAGTCTCTCTGGGGGTCTCTCTCTGAGAGTCTTTTTGTGGGAGTCTCTCTGGGAGTTTGGGGAGTCTGTCTCTGAGAGTCTGTGGGAGTCTCTCTGGAGTTTGTCTCTGCGAGTCTAGACGCTCTACACGCACATGGGCCTCAGGCCGACAAAACAGGAGTAAACGGCGACTCTTGCAAGTTAGGTAGTTTGTTAGGTCCTGAAGTTGCGCTGCAACAAGACGATGTGGCTTTTTGCTTGCGGCAAAGTCACCCGCACTCTATGCTGCAAGCCGGCAACGGCCACCACCAAAAAGACCGCAGACTCGCTGCCCTGCAGGGCATGGTGGCAAAACAGCACCCCTCCATTTAAGGGGTGGGGGGATTGGCGGGCGGGCATGAAAAAAATCCGGGGTACGTCCCGCCCCTCCCCAGCAAAAAACAAAAAACAAACAAACATGGGTCCGTCCGACCACACGCAAGCTGAGCAAGAACAAGGAGGGCGCCACTACAAGGGCCACTGGCATGGGGGAAGGGGTCAATTGCTAAAAAATGGATTGCAACAACCACCCTCCACCCTTTTTTAAGGGCAGGAAGAGGAGGGTGAAAACAAAAGCTAGATGAAAGTCCTATTTCTGGAAAGTTTGCCTTTCTTCTCCCACTGGCGTCCTCTGGCAAAGCAGGTTGAACGCGCAGCTTCGCGTTGTCCACGCTTGAGCTTTCAATAATGCGCTTGGATCCCAGCTGCCACAGCAATTGTTCAGAGCTTGGTATGACAAGCGTAATTCCCATTGACAAATTGTCGAGGATTTCTTATCCGAATGTCGTGTTAGATCGGTCTTATCTAGTTCTATTTCTGGAACAAGTAGCTCGTTAGATGTAGAAAATACTACAGACAATTCTTTTATTCAATCCTCGAATGATTTTACCTGCAGAACCATTGCGGGCAAGGGTTGACACAGGGTGAAGCTGAGGGGAAGGGACATCGTGAGCATGACGTCTCAAAGGTCAGGCTTCGCTTTCTTTGGGCGTGCTCCAAATAGATTGAAAAGCTTGGCAAGAAGGTTTGTGTGTTGCAAGAGCGATTGTTGGCAGTTGCTCTTCTGAGCAAGACAACTCCCGGAACTGACCGTCAGACTTGGCACTGGACAACGCAGCAACCAAATCTTTTCCAATCTTAAAAACCCTGGAAAGACTTCGCAGGTTTGTTAGACACCGTGGGGGCCAAACAAAAACAAGGAGCAGCGAATCACCAGGGATACTTGCATCTAGGAGAGCATCTTACATGACGCATGTTTTCCGGAGCCACTCCGCTATAATCCAAGTACCCTGAGCATCGGCTATTGATTCTAATCAATATTTTTCTGGTGTAATTGAAGGAGACTTTTTTTCAATAATTTCTAGTTGATTTTAACAGACGTCCATTCAATAAGAGATTCAATAGTCTGATCAATAGCAAAACAGCACCTTTTCGAAGGACAAATCGATAGGGGAATCAATAGAAAACCATGATGCACTGAAAGCCGAAGCTCTTGTTTTTTCCCAGCGCAATGCTAATATAACTTTATCAGACGGGGTGAGACTGGCCACCTTTGACCAAGAGCTTGCAGCTTTATCAATTCTCCCCTTTTCTCAAGGAGCTACAAGCGCCCTTTTGCCAAGGGCTAGCACAAGTTGTCTGGCGCTTCGTCAACAAAGCCAAAGCCTGGCCTGGTCAGCTGCAGATGTAGAAGGATCCTATACTTAGCGGCCACTTTCGCACTTAGCCTGACTGCCTTGACTCCAAAGCTGACTGAGTGAGCCAAGGTGCTCAGCTTGCCCACATAATCTTCTGCCCTGTAATTGTGGTGGATCCTGTAATTCAGGAACTGGCTATTTTTAATCAAGTGCATCATGGTATGGAACTTGTGGGTGATATTGAACAACTTCTTGCCTTTTGACAAGGCCCATGAG